AGCCATGTGTGTGTGTGTGAGTGGGTGGGAAATTGTTGACATTGAAATTTTACGAGCCTTGCTCTGCCATTGTCCCTGCCCAGGGGAATCGGTAGATATATATCTATATATATTCCCCTGACTTTTTGCTTTTAATTAAAAATATTTGCAGGCAAATAAAAATGAAAATAAAATGAAAATTTGGCATGGAAATGCATAAAAGGCAAACCTTTTGTGTTTTCCCTGGAAATTTGAACAGGTTGAAATTTGATTACCTGCATGCTATTTGGCCAAGTACTTAGTGCAAAATGAAAACATATTTAAACTGCAAACTGTTGACTCATCTCTGGGGTATCTCTCCCCCTTTCGCAATGCTAGAAATGTTTTATTTTCCAATAAATATTTTCCTTTTTTGCCTTTTTGAGTGCAATTAGTTGGGAAAACAAATAAAAGCACAGCTTACACTCGGAGTTTTGAGTGTCTTTGGCTTTTGTTTCGAAATATTCCATTAAGAGCCGAAGAAGGATGTGCAATTATTGCACGCTGCTGGAAAAGTCAGTCGAATAAAATATTAAACTCTATTATTTAAATTACCAGCATGGGAAAACTGCCAGGCATCAGCATTTTCAAGGGGCGCAAGCCAAGTTGGTAGAGGAGTGAAAACTCTTTGTCGAGTGCAAGGAAAACAAGAAACAAGAAAAGCCCCTCGGAAACGTGAAACGAGATTCGCTCCTTGGCTGAACGGAGATTGTAACGCGAAGCTGGCTAAAATAGAAGTAACATTCTATTATTAACAACGCCACTCGTTCCTGCCACTTCATAAACAGCCGAGCAGACTGACTGCCAAGAGCCGAGAATGAGAAGAGCAATATGAAACAATGGCAGCAACAATGGCTGATGGTGGCCAAGAGGAGATGGGTTGGATGCTCTGATGGACTGAAGGACTGAGGGACTGCAAGACCGAAGGACCCCAGGAAGGACTCACAGACAGGACAACAACGTGACGACGTCGTCATCGCCAACAAAGTGTTGACATCTTTTTGCCCATTCATTGTGTGTCTCTTAGTCCATCCATCTCTCTGCCGCCCCTAACTCCCCATCGGGCAACAATCCTTGACTAACGCTATTCGTCCTTTTTAATTAATTTCACTTACTGTAGTGTCTCTGCAGCGATGGCCTTCCAGCCCTTACATCCTTTTCTCCCATGCACAGAGAAAGAAACAAGGCAATAAGTTCTATGAATTTGGGAGAATAAATAAGAAAGAAAACTGGTATATCTTGGAACAAACATAAGTTATATTCAACACCGATTTATAATCCTCTGTGTACTTCTTCTAGTTGTCAATGCGACACGGTCCAGTCACACGTTGAACTCAATGGGAGACGGAAAAGAGGAGGTCTTTGGGGGGCTGCCTTCCATTTTTTTTTGCCAGTAAAGAAGTTTTCTTCATAAATTTATAAGCGTCACGTCGCTGACACTCTCACATATCTCTCACACACACTTTTTTTTGCTCGCCACCTATTTCTACCTTCCTCACCTGTGCCCCAGATAGACAGGCAGACAGACAAGAGACCTTTTGGGGCGCCACAGGAAGCACAGGATTCAGGCTGGCACCCAATAAAGCTCAGTGGCGGGGCATAAAAGGGGAGCAAATCACTTATGCAAATTGGCTAAGAATTTCTCGCATTGTTCACTCTGTTGTGCGAAATAAAATGTTAACAAAAATCCCAGGGAAAATGTTGAGAAAGGAAAAACCAAGACTTAAAGGGGGATGAGATTTTTTAAATTTAAAAACTGCCAAAAAATGTTCTTTCTCTTTAAACATGAGCTGGATAAATATTTGCTTAAAAATCATCTCAAGGATTTCACAACGCCTGAAGACAGATAAAAGTCCGATAATAGCCCAACGATTACTCTGCTAATCTCTGGCACACTTAACACCTTTCCCAGATATCAAATCGTATCTTATCTTCCGGGGAGTTTCCTGGGCCTCCACTCTGCTACACCTGGCACACCAACAGCTTTCCTTTCACCTGGCCAAATGGCCATTATTCCGTTTGGGGATACAGAAGGCTACGTCCAAATTAAATAACCATGTCCTCCCTCCGCCTGCTCTCCGGGTGAGTTATGGCCTAAGTCCTGCTCCGTGTGGGAATGTCGAAAATTAGATTTCCCGGACAACAGGTTTCCATTATTGGTGCTCCTTCGCTTTTCGCATTTCACATTTTGCTTTGCATAATACATAAATATTTTCTATTTGCCGTCATATTCCATTCGCTGGCTTAAAATGGGGTATACACTGGCACTGTACAGGGTGGGGGGGCGACTGGGGGTCTCGAGTGGCAGCAATAGGCACAGCATAAATAAGCAGGCTTTTCCGAGCAGGTGGGCCAGGTGGGTGCTCTGGCAGGAGCTTGCCACTCGTCACTCACCCATTTTGCCATTTGCCATTCATGCGTCGTCCTGGTCTCAGACATCATTCATACAAATGTCTGAGCCAGCTCCTGCGCCTGCTGCTCCTTCAGCTCCTCCTTGATTCTTCCCTTATCCTCCTTACCCTCCTCTTTCTTTCTTTTTTTCTTATTTATGTTACTCATTCGACTCGTATCCTGCTTGTTGATTGCTTTGCCTACACGTGTAGTTTCTCTTTCTCAGCCGCTGCCACTGCCACAGCTCCTCCTGCTCTAACTACTTCTCCTCCTTGGCTACCAATTCCTGTGGCTCCCCTTCTTCGGCTTTTGGGGGTTGGGCAAAAGGGGTGGCAGTGGCTCCTTTGTTCTGCTCGCCCCGTCGCGCTAATATTATGAATGGCAACTCATGCATTGTAGCCAGTTTGCCTCGGTCTCAGCTTCTGTTTCTGTTTCTATTGCTGCTGCTCCACGGAAAATTGTGGTCGCCCTCTCACCTGGGGAACTCACTGAATGTGGAAAGTGCAGGAGCGGTTCGGTGAGGTTTTCATGACTAATGAATTTTAATAAATTTCTAAATTATGAGCTAGTAAGAAGTACTTAGCTAGTGCGAAGTAAAGCAAAATCAAGATTATTATTTACTCGTTTTATTACTGATTTTTCTGCTTTTCTTTCAAGTTGTTTTATCACTTATTTAATAGCTGTTACTTACTTTAGTAACGCCTAAAATTCCCATCAAATTAGTGTATTTATTGACACTTCGAAGAACTGTTCAAACTGGTAATTAAAGGTTATATTCCCTACAAGTTGTCCACCCTCGACAGCCATCAATCCGCTCCTGATTTTCCCGTTATCCGTAAAAGTGTCAATGTAAGCCCCCAATGTGTTAGTGTGTGTGTGTGTGTGTTCGTCCTTGCGTGCGTGCTAGTGTGAGTGTTTATATTAGAAGAATCGTTGTAAGCCCCTTTTGGCCAAACAAAATGCTGCTAAATTGCTTCAAGAAAGCGAAGAAAGGAGGCAAATAAGTAGAGCACATAAGTAACACACACGAGAGGGAAAGTCTCCGGAAAAGCTGAAGGGAAAGTGCCTGCGAAATTGGGGCTGTAAGAGGAAGACAGACAGATACTTAAATCGTAGAATTTGGCCAGCATTAAGTTATATATTTCACCTGGCCATGTAAAACACAAGTAACGGAGTGCGTTGCTTTCCCTCTTAGCCAACCCTCCGCACTCCCCAAAACAATTCACTTTTCCTGTGCATTTCCATCTGGCTAGTTTCGGCAGGGAGGGGAGGGTAATAAAAAACGAAAATTGAGGTCAATTTGTTTTGGCATGTTGAAAGGTTGACAAAAACGTACTTTCATATTCCATATTCCAACGGTCTGTTTGCCCAAGCTGGAATGTGTTTCCCTGCCACCGACATCGTTGTTAAATATAACAATATTTATTTATTTATTATTTACACTGCCCTCGGCGTAACTGCCAAGGTTGTGGGTCACTCGGTCTGCAGCTCGTTCGTCTGCCCGCCGAGGCTTGCCTGTAATCTATCAGAGATATGGCTCCCAGGCTTTCCGGACGCCGTCTCCCTGTCCGACTGTCTGTCTCTGCCTTTCCGTCTGTGCTGGCATTTTAAATATTTAAGTCATTTCCATGCCCCAAAAGGGAGCAACATCATTAAACTTATTGGGTTTCGGTGCTGGGCAATTGCATTCGAAATGAGTGGGTGGATGGGAGGTGGTGTGGCTAGTAAGAAGTGGCTGGAATACTCGTGGGATACCTTTGTATGTGGTTTTTGTGCTCTGAGTTCTGTGGGCGTGTCTGTAAAGTTGCTTCCTGATGAATTTGAATGAAGAGGCGTCGACGTATTGATCCAATTGGTTAGAGGTGAAAATTGGACAGATCTGGACTGAAAATTGAACCAAACAGGTGGGAAAACAGGAGGTACAGGAACTTTAAGATATAGGAAAGTAGGCAGTCCGATGGGCGGGACTATAATGTTTAGAATAATTAGTTTCGAAAGAAGGGTAATAATTAAGCAAAAATGAGAAAAGGGTATAAAGAAAGGTATTTTGGAAAAGTAAAACCAAGGTTTCAAAGCTTGAAACTCTAACTCTGAGCTGCAATATAAGCTACCTAGGAATGTGGCACATGTAAGGATATATGCTTCTCCCTCCCCGTTCCCTACTCATACAAAAGGGAAAATCGAGCGTGGAAGTTCAACAATCCCATGTTGCAGTCGTCTACAATTTCCTCGTTCCGATTTGCATTCGCATACAAATCCAATTCTGGCCGAATTCCACTTTGTAATTAAGAAAGCTTGATCGAACACGCAGCAGTATGCAGATTTTGCTTCCTTGGAATTTCCCTCCCCAAAAAACTGTTCCATATAATGCACTTTTCGCCAGCAAGCAGAGACGAGGGAAAGAGCTACGGGGCGGGGCCACAAGCTCAACATGAATTTTCCCTGATTCAATTTGCAATTCAATATTTTGTTGCTCTTTTCCATCTCAGTGTTGTTCCTGTTTTTCCCCAACCGAAAATTGTGCATAAATGAAAACTAATTCGTGCAAATGTTTTTCCATTGTTTTAATGTTTGGCATTTTCTATTTTCAGTGGCGAATGTCAGCGGCAGCGTGCGACTGATGATGGAAAAATCGAATTGAACAGCAAATCACTGAGCGGAGAAAACCCCCAAATAGAAAAGATGAGATTGAAAATACAGGCAGCTGCAGGAAAAAGCGAGAAAAACACGAAACCGCGGCCACGCCAAATGGGAAACTTATGAAAAGCACTAAAAGCCGAGCAGAAAAACAAAAAGGAAAACTAACAACGTTGAAAAGAGGAAAATTAAAGCAACAATTAGTGGGGAATCGGGGCCAAGAACCCAGCAGAAGAGAACTCAGCACAAAAGCAATAAACGCTCTTGAGGAAAAGTCGCGACTCAAAAGCTACGCCAAAGGAAAGGGATTTCCCATAGAAAAGTCCAACCCAAAATGGATACACTTTTCGCTGCGGTTCTCCTGGTCCTGGCCACAGTTTCTCTCCTGGTCCAAGGCGAACAGCACCCGGCCACCGCCGACGAAGGTACGTACTCCCCTGCATGTCCACACAATTTACGGATACACAAAATTCACGGAAGTGGCAGGGCATAAATAAATAAAAGGCGCCGTAAAAACAACAAACAAACGCATTCCGAATTGCGTGAAAACCTCAATTGAAATATAAACAGCGTAACCGCAGAAAACCAGTTGAAAATGTTTTGAATTTAATGCAGGAGGGTTGCCACAACAACAGCCTCGATGACGAAACACCGAAAACCACCGCGATAAAAATCCAACAACGAGAACAATTTAGACATTAACACTTTTATTTTGCTGGGCGGTACTACAGATTCCAATTAAATATAGAAAAAAACTTACCCTTGTATCTATGTATGGAATTTGATTTTAAACAGGACTCTGTCTCTCATTGAAATGAAAATGAAATGTTTCCTCTGTCCGTGTTCTCTGCACGACCCGAAAACCATAAAAAATTCAACATTTGAAATTGTTTTTCCCCCTCTGGCCGTTTTGTGTTCCTTCATAATGACATTTCACGGACATCCAAATGAAATTAGAGAACATGTCAATGAGTTTGTTTATATAAATGGGGCATGGCCCGAGCCCAGAACCTCGGACTACGATTGCGTTTAGTTTTTCCATTACCCGAACGGAGGCGTTACCCAACGGACCGACCAAACATCTGGCGGGCAAAACCGAAACAAACACACAGTTTGGGCTTGGAGGGTTAATTGCAACGGGAAATGGGAAACATGGAAACAGGGAGACAGGGAAATTTAATTTTTGACTTTCCGGATCTCGGGGATCACTGTGCCTCAATGGCAAAGCCCAGCGGGAATAACTAAAGTGTGACTGCAGCTGCGATTGTAAATTTCAGTGATTACCAAAGTGTGACATTAGGAAGTGATCGGTCTAAAAAGAAAGAGAATAATCAAGCTACAAAATAAAGTATTAAACATAATGATAACACTAACTATGGAGTAGTAAACCCAATATCCAACTATAACATCCAAAACATATCTAAAATCGATCAAAATCCATTGCAATTCCAAACATCATCAAAGTTGTATCTAATGGATTAAGGGAATGCAACTTTTCAAATGGTTTTTGACAGATTTTCCTCTTGAGATGTGACATGTGGAGAGTCACAGTTGAACTTTCCTCACCCTTGTCACCCCTCAGCGCTTCGTCACCCCCTGCCTTTCCTCCCTTCGCCACTCGATCGAGATCATCGTTGTGTCAGTGTCATCAGTGTCAAAGCCAAATGTGATTTAAACTAGATTACTCTCAATTATTTCGTTACATGCATTTCATTTACAGTGACTCAGAACCCTCAGACACAGTCCCAAAAACCAGAGAGAGGGAGAGGGAAAGCCACCCCCCTTGGCAAGCTGGCACCCTGAAAATTGTGCCTGCCTGGAATTATTTTCCTGTACTTTATGTTTTTATTGGTTGACTTGAGTGGATCTGGTCCGGGGACCCTCCCCCGACTCGCTGCATTTGTTTGATTGAAATTGATTTTGTCTCGCCTGCGGGGATTTGTAGGAACGGAATTCGAGACTGTAGACTGCAGACTCCAGAACATTGCGTTCAAGTACTCGCTCTCTCCCACTTGACTTACCCTGACTCCTCCAATAAAGATTAAATTCATGCCGAATGGCCTCTCATTGAGATATACAAAAAGCGTATAGAAGGAGACCCGGCTAAGTGCTTTCAGATGCTGTCTCGTTATGGTAATCGGCTCAGCCTCCCCTCGCCCTTGGGTTTTGACTTACTTATAACACCATTCGAAGTGATTACGATCTTAATTGTAAGTGATGCACTTGTGGGTAGTTTTTCACCCCCTAGTTTACTAGAGGGTCGCAACTATCACAGAAACGTTTGTCCCTTTCCTCACTCCGTCTCTCTCTCTCTTGGCCGAAAGGTTCATGCCCTTAACGAGGCTATATCTAGTCAAATATTCAACCTTTTTTAGTCGGCTAAACTGATTTCATGGCTGCGATAAGCAAATATCTGCCATTCCCAACAAATTACTTGTTAACAAGTGCATTTTAATGTTCGGCTTTTTGGCCAAATTGTGGCATATGTGTGTGTGTGTGTGCTGTGTGTTTTTGTGTTTGTAGTCGAGAGTGGCCACAACTGAAATTCATGTGGGCTATAAAAAAACCGACTAAACACAAGCCTACAAATGGCCAAAACCCTCACTTAGTACGAGTGTGTGTGTGTGTGTTTTGGCCAATTGGAACAGAAAATTGTGAAATGGTTTTTGTGCTTTGTGATTGCGACCCTTTTTTCCGGCTCTGCTACCTCGATTCCAATGTAATTTGAACATGCAAACGGTATGCTTAACTGCAGTACAGAGTCAGGGGCGTTGTTTTGGAGGGGTGCTAGAAAGGGTAATGTGGGGATCAGCATTAGGAATAATATGGTTACGGGTTTTAGTTTTACAAACTTACTTCTTCTATTGGATTTCCCCTGGTTTTCAGTGCCTTATCACCTATTTTATGTTAGGAAAGTCTCTTAAGAAGGAAGTTAGCCAAAGAAAAACTTAAAGCCTTCAGTCATTCAATCAAATAAAAGTTACACAGAATAAAACTGCCAATGAAAATTCACTTTTGATCAAGCATTCTTCATTGGTTGTCTGTCAAAAAGGGCGCTCAATCATAGTTCATAGTTAATTGGCATTGTTTTCCCCTTTGCAAATTGATTTTCCACACTTTTCCGCTGTCATTCTCCACACAAGACTCCGATTACCCGGGTTAAAATGAAAATTGAATTCAATTTCTACACAATTTCATGGATTAAAATGTTAATTTTCAATCTAATTAAATACATTGGAAGCCAATTTCCATTCAAAGAGCTCCGTCATCCCGAGGTTTCCGGGGGGGTCACAGTATATATCAATAAAAAAAAGGTCGGAAAATGCTTTGAATAATAATCCAGGGGGGTTAAAAAATCAAATCGGGAAGAGGTCGCAGCTGTTTTGACGCAGAAATAATTCATTAATTCAATAAATGCGTAGCGCGGGTTTTTCCTGTGTTTTTTATAACATTTTTCTTGGCACCATTCCCGCCGCTCTCTTTGGAAGTCAAATATTTGTACAATAATTTGTGGAAAAATGCTAGGGGATGGCGGATTGCAAGATTTGAGGATTGGGGGGCAAATAGCAGCATCTGGTGACGAAATCAAAACCGATCCCTGACCGGGACTTAAGCGCTCCTGCAAATACGCGGCGGAGGTCCTTTTCCCTATCACCGAGCCATCCGTTTACGTTGCTCTTTTTAATCTTTGATTTTCGGGAATATTGGCGGAGGACAGTCAGGACCCTCTCAGCGTCGGTCGACCCACAACAGGAGCTAAGCACACAGACACGGTCGGGAAAAACATGGAAAATACTTGAAAAATTACTCACCCGCAGCGGCGGCAGAGATCCGAGCAGCCACCAGCCGGTAGCCTGAATGGCTGAATGAATGAATGAATGAAAATATTGTGGAAAATCCCAGGGAAACATTTTGAGCAAACACCGCACATATATGCATGTGGATGCCAGAGGGTGAGGGTATGGACAAGGATTTGGGTATGGCTACGGTTTCGGCTACGGCACATTCGATGGCCAGCGGGTGGCTCAAAAATCAATGGGCTCAAAATATTAAAGCGCTCGATTTCCATGTTTTCCATGTTTGCCAAAGAGCCCTCGATCCTCCAACCTCCTCCTCTTCCTCTCCTCGATTTCCGTGTGTGCTCCGATTCCGATTTCGATTCCGCTTGAGATTCCCATTGCCGTTTGTGCATTGGCGGCTGTGCCTTTTCGATTTGTAAATTGGCACTCAATGAATCAATGGATTTCGCCTCATTTTTAGCACTGGCCGCAGTGGTCAGCGGGAGGAGGTTAACGAGTTTGAAGACTAAATTATGAAAGGTTGATAGAAAAAATATTAGCTATTAATGGTTTCTAGAAATATCTCACAAAGGTGTCAAAGTATTCTTGGATTGTTTACAAACTTTTTTTTACAAAGTTTAGATAAGGAGGTTATAAGGAGGTTAAAGTTATAATTTTAGAAGTCAAAGTGTACTTTGCTTGATTTCAAACAAAAAGTTTAAAGTTTACATCATAAACTTACAGTACCACCTTCTTTTGTACAACTCTTCGATCCACCCCCTTTGCATTTCCATATACGCTCCACATACAAATCAGTCAAAGTGTTTTTCGGCCTTCTCATCGACTTTATTTTTTCAACACCCTTCATGTGCTGAGCCCACAGCTCTCATATTTGTGTGTGGATTTTGAGGAGAATTTCTGGAATGCACTTGACCTGAGTGGGGGTTCGAGGAGATCTTTTGGCAGGGGGGAGGAGAGGAAATGGAAATTGAGGCAGACTGGGCCGCCAATCGCGGCACACAATAAACTGGCAAAAGTGCAGTCTGCGATTCTATATCTCTGTGGGAGTGTGTGTGTTTTCGCGGGATGTCCTTTCTTTGAGCCTGTGGCCGTGACTGTGGCTTCGCTTCGAGTGTCCTTCGCTCCTTTTAGCCGACGAACGTGTGGCATGCCCCATTTATGCGCTGATATACGGAATTATGCTGAAATCACGTTCCCACACAGAAATGTAAGGGGAGCGGGAGCGGAGAAGGGCGGGCGGGTTTAGGATAAGAGTTTCCCTCTGCTGCATGTGGAAAATCTCGACCAAGAAAAGTGCTTCCTGCATAACAATTTTCCGCTGCGGGTGTATTTGTGTGTGTGGTCCTTGCCGGGATGTTGTTTTTGTTATTGTTGGGCATTATTATGTTTGTGTCTTTGCCTTTTTTCGGGAAATGCTTTCAACTATTTTTGTGGCAGCGCTCACGGCAGGAGTGGCTCAAAAATAGAGAGCACGAAGGAGGACAATCCTGTGTTTTCCCAGCTCTTGGCCTGGAAATCCCTCCCTCGCCTGGAAATCGATAGTAATCCACTTGATCGATACGTTTCTCGAGAGTGAATTGGTAATTTGACAAAATTATATGACATGGGAAACCAATTTGGAAACTAGGGATATTAATTTGGTTCGATTTGTGTGGTCTCACAGGTCATTGAAATCAATTTTTAATGTAATTAGGGGGCCCGTTGAAGAGGGAAGTGAAAAAGGTGGCACTTGACACAAGAATACCCTGCAATCAGTGGTTGTTATTATTACCCACTCAATAATTAAGGCGACTTCTAACAAGGAAATTCAATCAATGGCTGACACTTACATAAATTCCTTACCCAAGATTACCTTCAGGGTTAAGCTTCTTCTCTATCTCTAGAGTTAAGCTCCTACTAATTCGTATTTATTTAAAGCTTTTTTAGTGCCCCGCTCGTAAAAAGTTAAACGTTTTCAAAAATTTGATCCGAAATCAATTGGTTAAATCAAAAAGCTGACGCATTTAACCCTTTTCGGTTCCTGGTCTGCGGCCACTTTTACGATCACACCTTGAATGGCCAGTAACTGTCACCTCATCTCCATCACAATGCGAGCTGTGAATGACTTTGGATTAATGGGCCAGCGTGTGTGATTGGGTTAGAATTTCATCCGACCGACGGATGATGCCAATCAATGGGCTCTTTTATTGCCCCTGCCGCATAAACCTGGATTCCATGAGAGTCACTTACTTAGTTGATGGTGGTTAAGTACACTGAAACCAACTATAACAAACTTAACTAACTCTTAGTTTGTTGCCTAAGGAAGTTAGTTTTCTTTTCTTACTCTTGAATACAATAGGGCTTAATCCGATTACAAACATTTTCTCTTTGTGTAGCCTCGCCATGATAAATGGTGGGCGTGTGGAAATCAGAAAGAAATCACCTCTCCTGGGGGATGATGACATGGCAAGTGACATGGCCAAAATCAAATCATTGTCTCAGCGGCGAAGGAAAAATCATCCTTCACTCTCTCTCTCAAATTAACTGGAGGAAAATGGAGAGAAAGGATGCTGCAAAATAATGGAGATTTATCAATCGCATTATCTAGCCATCAATCTTGTCAAAAACTGATAGATGAGCCATTATCTGACAAATTATCTGTCGCGCGAGTGTGTGTGTTCGATGTGTTTGAGATTTACAAATTAGAGTCATTCGGCCCATAAATATTCTGGAACCGATTGATGGGTGGATTTCCTTAAGAAAAGTCAGCAGTCGAGGGGTGGGGTAGGTTTTCTTCGTGTAATAAATAAATTCTACACTTCGGAAAATGGATAAATGGGTAAACAATGCCTTTAAATAATTATTTTAGCAATAAATTACTTATATTTATAGCAACGTATAGCCGACATCTTCTGTGATTGGGAACACTACAGTCTTGGTCTTGTCCCGAATGACATGTATCTCATAGTGAAAGCCCCCCTCGACAATAACTGATGTAGTGACTTGAGTTTTAGGCATCTTCACGTTTTCATTTACGCAGTTGAAGAACCATTTTTCAGCTTGCGGAAGTCTGGTCAGCAAATCGAAGCACTGAGCCAGTTTCGATGACCAAACGGAAACGGAATCGAAGTTTAGGCCTTCCCTTTTGTATAGTTTTACCACTTCATTGAGTGTCCGGAAAGTACTCAAGGTAATAACAGCCGAAGGTTTGTCGCCGAAATAGTACTGAGGGAAGTCCAAGACTATGATAGGGGATCCTTTCATCCTCCGTCCATATCGTTTTTTTATATCAGTTTCCTCGAATTCCTCGATATGTATTGTCGAGCAGTTCATTCGGTCGATAAGTTTTATCGACTTTAGATAGTTTGGATGATTTTGAATGCGCTCATTCATCGGCTTAAAGTTGGCGCGGATTTTCTTGATCACTTCTTCCCTTATGGACTCCTCTACCAAAACAGTTACGATCATTCCACTCCCAATCGGGTGCTCCAAATCGGCTGTTATCAGCTTTATAACTCGGTCAATATCGCCACTGGCGAATAGCACTAGTATCCGCGGAAGCACCCATGACTTATGGGTTCCATCTTCCGGGTATCTGTGCACGTGTCGGGAAAGTAAGAACATGTATAAGTCTGAAAAAGCCCCCTCTTCACGCTTTTCCGGTGATTGAGAAACGTCCGTCATTTTATCTCCCATAACTTGGAATTTGGATATTTATTAAGCAAACTTTTGGTCTTTGCTTCATAAATCAAAAGGCCACTTTCTGATGTTCAAAACAAAGATTGTACTGCCAGTTTCTAAATGGTTATGACTTAATTTTAAATATATTAAAATATGTAAAGAAGTCACTTAACGCCTGAACTATAGCCTTTGGGACTTCCCTTCCCTTGTGCAATAAATAATTTTAAAAACGATATTAAACTTAAAAAGCAGTCGGCTGGCAGGGAGATTTATGAGACGCCTTTTAAAGTGTTTTTCGGGTCCGAAAAGCTGTCCATGAATATTCACGAATATCTAACAAACTAGCCAGCTCTTAATTCACCCCTCCCCCACCTCAGATCCAATTTGTTAATGAAGTTATCAACGGTTGGAGTTAGTTTCCCTTGGTTTCCAATTCATTTGCATATCTCGAGGAGCACCGCTCTCGTTGTTTATGTTTATGGGGCTTTATAATCTGCTTTTATAGTTTGTTTACTTAATTTTCTGTAGCTTTTTGACATTTTGCTCCAAATTAAAAGAAAAAAAAGCACACACACACACACACACAGGCAGAAGACGAGGGTAATATTTGGGTGGGGGTTGGGGGTGGAAAGGGAGGCGCTGACGTATAAATATTCCCATTGCCCATTCCCGAAAAAAAAACAGAAAATAGAAGAGAAAAACGAAACAAAAGCAAAAAGTTTCGGGCGGAAGTGGCTGCGACGCCCAAACACAAACAAAAAATGAAAATGGAAAAAATGCAATGAAAACAAAAATAATAATAGCAGCCAAAAAATGGGAATACGAATATTGCCGTTCCAGTTCTTTTTTAGGACGAGACTTGGAGAGTGAAAAAGTGAAATTAAAATCCAGCAAAATATGCACATGAATTTAGTTTCAATTTCACGAAAGTCTAGTCTAGCGGAGAAAAGTTGTAAGGACTGAATTGCAGAAATATAGGAAATGTTAAGACTATTTGAAGTGTTTTTAATAGCTTATAACATGTTTTATATAAAATATAATTTAAATACTAAAATTAGCTAAGAAATACTACAACATTTTCTGATTTCAATTTGATTTCTAACTAATTTTTATATAGACTTTCAAGAAGTTAACAAATTTTGTTATTTTTGTTGTGATTAATTTTTGCCAGGGGCGTTTTTATTATTTCTTTGGGGCTGACAACTGTCTGGTAGCTGGAAGCTGCTCCGGAAGGAGCGCCCATTCATGGCTCCTAAGTGGCCGAAATGTTTTTGTGCCACGTTATTAATGATCAACAAATTCCCCTGACATTTCGTTTCATTTTGAAGTTGACACGTGCGCGGGGAAAAACCTAAAACCGAAACCGAAACTGAAAAGTTGAAACTGCGCGATCCACCCCCGTTGTCTTTGGGAAAACGCCCTTCTACGCTCCTGAAATATATATATGTATATATTTTTTTTTTCTGTCATGATCCAGTGCTTAGAGTCGCATGGCATTCCCCGTTTCAGAGCCATTCCATCTATTCTCTTGTTGCGTTAGTGAAATGAAATGATTTTGAGTAATTTATTTTATAGTCGCGCTGAAGTATTTATTATTTTGGAAAGCGCCGAACAATGCCATGATTAATTTCGCTGCATGTGGAGCAAGTGGCCAACCGCATCGCCCCCCTATCCCTCTCTAGCCTCCAGCCCCGTGCCTTTGGTGGCTCCCCTAATCCCTCGGAAAATTCCTTGCGGCATCGAAAGTTTCCTCGCTTCTTCTCTCTTTTTTTCTGGCTGCCATTGATTGCCGAACATATTTGGGTTGCTGCTGCTGTTTCTTTTTTCTTGGGGGTTCTGCGTGTTATTTATTCGATTTGATTTCGGTGCCCCCGACTCCCCCTCCTCAAACATATTGCAAAAGCAAATCTCCTCTCAAGCCGAAAGGTACAGTAGGGGGCACAATAATAGCAACACGTTTGGAAAATAATAAATCAAATCTTTAGCTCCGTCTAGCTTTACTTTATTTATTTATCTTTTCATTAGTTTTCATATTTCCTTATTATTCAGATTTTATTCTTTTCTTTATGTTTAATCCTTATAGTTGGTAATCAACCAGCAAAAGCTTAAGCTTAAATATTTTTCCATATTTATATAGTATATTTATTTCGGTTCTTAACTTTCGAACACGCCGGCCACGTTTTTTTGAATGTTCTTCTTTTTTCTTCGTTTTCGCATTCCAGGGATGGAAGATACTCTCGTTACTTTTACAAACCAGGGATAGCACACTTAATACATATCCAGGGCTACACAAATAACAAAATATAAATAACTTAAAACTACGTTGGTCATGTTTATACTAAGAGTAGTTGCTTACATAGTTCTTATTACTACAATAGTCAAATTTTCAAAATATTTACTTTGCCTAATAAATAGCTTATCATAATCTAATCAAATCGCGTGGCATATATTCTCACGACCCTCGTTGTCTGCTGTTTTTCCTAAGTTTTTTTCTTTCTGCCCCCTGGGCTATAATTCAGAATCAATCGTTATGCTTTTGGCAGCTTGCAAATTTTTCTTTATTATATCATATTAATTTTATGAGTCTTGTTTTTCCTAAACCGCTTTGGAGCACACCCCAACCCCCTTTCCCACCCCATTCGCTATCGTTTTCTCGTTGGTTTATTGCATTTAAAAGATATTTTTCATATCAATGAAGCTTCCACATTGGGGCCACACACACACACGCACGCAGGCAAAACCGTCAGAAAAGGAAAACAAAGGAAAAGGAAAAAAAGTTTGCTAAATTTCCTAAAGTCATGCAAACATTTTTTACATATATCGATTTTCCTTTCAGCTGGCTGGGGCTGGGGCTGGGTCGGCCTTGTTATGACAGGCTCAAATTGGGTGCTATCAAAATTATATATTATTTTGCATAATATCTTCTTCTCTGGCTGGGAGTCTCGCTAGGATAGGTAATTTGATGCGGCATGAATTTCATGTCCCACAACGATTAGGTTTTCCCGCCACCCACTATGCCCAGTTTGTGTTTTTGAAGTGGGTGCACTTTCGCTGGGAAGCGGCTTTAAGCAAACTTCTTGGCCAAACTTGGAACGATGTCTCATTTGTTTGGGGAGCAGCACTTAAGCACTCTGATTGTCTGAGCTTTGTCAAAGGTGAAACAGCAGGTGTTTCACGGAAAGTAGAAAAGGAAAAGGGGTCGTCGGGAAAAGCCAGAAAGAACTTACCAGTTATTCAGCTTAATGCAGTCTGAAAGCTCCTCTTTCAGGCAGACACGCAGAAACAGCACTGGAGATGATGATGCACTCGGAAAATATAATAATTCGATGAGTGGAAACTGCATGGAACTCTAAAAGTAAGGAAAAGCTTATAAAGAAAGAAAGTAGCCGAAAAAAGAGCTATAATTTACAAAGGAAAGGCAAATAGATTTGAAAACTTTGAAATAACTTAAAAAAACTGTTTCCAGATCCTTTCCATCTTAAAAGAAAAACATTTTTCGTAGTGCACTGAAAGGTGAAGGAGCTTAAATAATATTTTCATTTTAAGCATTGACTTCTGCCCCGTGGGGTACTACAAAAGGAAATTACCGACAAGGAGAAGGGCCCGAAGGGGGAGAAGTCTGGGAGAGGAATTCCTTGAGGTGTCGAACCATTTATGACCTGCCATAAACACGTGTAAATCCCGTTCATTATGGAAAAGTCACGATTTCTAGTGTCAATATCGTAAATACAGACAACTCCGACTCGGAAAGAACTCCGACGACCTCATGACCATTTCCATTTGGCATTCCTTCCCCTTATTCCCCTTTTTGGGGCAATAAAATCGAAAACCCAATTGAAGCTCCCACATAATCTGAATCCATCCATCCACCTATGGAACTCGCTATCTATCTATCTATCTATCTATCTGTCTGTCCATCTATCCACCCAGCTATGTGTCCGTGTATCTGTATCTTGAGCGCTACACTCGATTACCCCGCTCGACGATCTAATCACTTTGAGTGATGGCTTCGGGGCATTGAGACTCCGTCTGGGTTCCATATATCCGTATCCGCCGTATCTTTGGCTGCCTTGGTATCGCTGTATCTTCGTACCTCCCTTGCCAGACGGACTATCTATCGCCATTGCGTGTTCTGTTTGCATTTTACAAATGTCAACAAAGGCAAATGCACTTTGAGGTTCTATTAGTGGTCAGGTGAGGCCAGGTTGATAAGCGCGGTGGGGCGCTGCATTTGATGGACAGCCAGAGCGAGGGCGATAAGTGGAACCTTCGCCACTGGCGACACTCTAAGGGTTAGTCGGAGTAACACTAAAATAATCAGTTTGACTTCTTAAAGATAGTTATATATTGGAAATGATATAAGGTTTTAAACTCTTTAACATTCTTTACCTTTCTTACAGCTGTTTAAAGTTAATTTAACTTAATTAAAGTTAATTACTCAAACATTTCTGTTGCAGTGTAAGGCCTTAGTGGTGGGTGTTGAAGTCTTTTATATATACGATCCCCCTTCCAAAGTGGGGGCCAAACGTAATCCATCATAAAATTAGTTTGGCTGCCACAAATGCTACGAGCATTAGATTTTTAACCAAGATTATGATAAAGTTAAGCCAAGCGGTGAAAGAGTGCTACATTTGGGATATCGGAATAAAAGGAAATATATATATGTAGGTGGTGGGTTGTATAAATATTAATTTAGGGAATTACCTGTAGGGCTATGCCCTGGGCAGGCAATGCCAACTGAGGCGATGGACAGCCGGTGGAAATGGGTGGATGTGAACGAGTTGGATGGATGATGTGGGTCAGACACGCCATTTGAAGGTTACTCCGACGAAAATCTTAAGGTTGGAATTTTTCGGGGGAAAATTCTTGGGTTTAATAGAAAATATTTGGAATTTAACTAGCAGGGGTGAAATTTGAAAGGCTGTTCTAGCAGAAGCCTTACATCTTATCCAAATGTGGTTAAAAATCACTTTTAAGTTTAATTTTATATAATTTTTACTCAACTTTACAGTGAGGAGCTTACTAATTTTGCATAATTTCGGTACATTTCTATGTTAACTTTAATTGACTTTTAAAAAGTTATTCCTAAAGTTTAGAGACCTTGACCCTCACAAGCCAATGAGCCCAAACTTAACCCCACTTACCGCAACCCCCTTTCCGACATTTATCCAACCTCAATAACTTCAATATTCGGACATATTCCCAAAGCAGCCCCCTTACCCGCCCCTGTTTTCAATTGGAAAATACCCCTGAGAAAGAGAAGGCAATCCATGCATAATAATAATTTGCCAAGGGCCACAGCCCAAAGTCAATCTAATGAAAATCAAATAAAATAACCGAGAGAAGGGAAAGCGAAGGTCTAACGAGTATTTTCCATATTTTACAACTTCCCATGAAGAGGAAAATAACAAAAGGAACTTTATTAGGGAGGAAAACTCACCGAAGAAGAAGCCAATTCAGAACTCAAGCTGCCAAGTCCGGCTAATTTCGGACTTAATTTAGGTGACTCTGTCGCTCGTTCCTCTTGGCCAATTCCCCACTTTGGGCCATAAGCAATCGGCAATCGTATTATTGGCATTATGACCGAGACACACCCCGCCGCCCCTCGCCAGGCAATTTCAACATCCGCCTACGACATTTTGATGGAGGCGCCTAAAACTCGACAAATGCCGCCTGCAGGAAATATTAAAGCTCAAACGACTGAACTTGGTTGGGGGTCATAAATGGACAGTGGATCGCAAATTGTCATTGGTCACGTGCAGGGGGGAGTATAGGGGCATCAATAGGGGGACAAACTCTCCACTTTGTTGCTGTTGTTATTTGAAAATATAGAAATAAAGGGAGCCAAGACAGCAGAAGCAACAACCAAAAAAAGAATCAAAGAAACATTTTACGACAATTGCCGTTGCCGTTGCTGTTGCTGTTGGTGTTGCTGCTGTGCATGTTGCTGCTGTACAAATTGCTGCTGTTGTTGATGGCGTCGTTTGAGTCATTGGCAATTTGTCGTCAGCAATTGTTTGTTGGGTTGTCGTTTCAGGTGTTGTTTGGGTGGGAATCCACTCCACTCCACACACAGTTCCATTTATAGATACTATAACCTTTCCTCCTCCAAAACCTGCACTTCTTTTCCCTTCAAAGGCGAGCTGCGTAAACATATCTAATTTGATTTATTTCCTGCAGCATGGTCTTTTGTGTTTGTTATGCTACTCGTTGGCGCCAACAAGAAAAAAGCTTCAAAGATCTCACACTGGGTTTTCCAAAGGGCTTTCGCCTATAACTTACCCAAATCCCCCGCAGCGTTGGGCCATACAAATGATCTGAGTAATTAGCTCATCGACAGGCAGAGATAGGGATCACTTGAGGCGATTGTCAAAATATTTTCACAGTTGCAGGCAGAAAACAAGAAGAGGCGGATAAATAAATAAATAAATAACCGAAAAACACGATGGATGCGCTGGCTGGGATTTGAATGCATGACTGATTGACTGGGTAATTGCCCGGGCACTTGGCCTGGCCTTTTGTTTGTTTTCACAAAAGTTCTAAATGAGCTTAGCGAATGGGGCTGCATTGATAGCTTTTCGCCGCGGGAGCTGCAGTGGGAGAATGCAGTTCAATGCAGACAATAAATGCATTTTCCCAACATGAAAATTCCGATTTTCCATTTAACACGCTTATTTCGTTTGCTTTTTTATAAGCTTTTAAATTTCCAGGCCAGGATTATTTTTTAAATTGCGAAAAATATATTTGCTTTCCATGTTGAAAGTTGAAATGGATTAAAAGTTTGCCTGCAACACGAACAGAAATCTCAACAAGTTTTAGCAGCGATTTAAAGGGGCTTAGTTTAGATATAGAAAACTCTTTAATCAGTCAGAAAAAATATCTTTACTGCACTTGTAGATACATCCCTTTCGCTCTTTCGAAAAAGATTTCATTCCGCCGAATTGCTACACGACTATAAATTTAATTCTGTGACTTGAACTGTGAACTGATGGGAAATATGGGAAAGGGTTATTCCCTCAACAACATCGTACTTTGAATATTTTATTAGCCCTTTCCAAGAACACCAAAACATGAAGACATTGAATATGACACATAATTCCATATTCCACGAACCTGAATAAAATTTCTGTGGAGCGATCCCCCTTTCCATTACCGAAACTGAGTGCTGAGGCAACCAGAATTAGTTCTGCGGCCTAACGATCTCCATCGGTTCGGAAATGTTTTTCGTTTTTATTTCTCGAGGAAGAAGATCCGAGCAACAACTTGGCCCTATCATGTTGACGCCCACTTAAAGTGGCACAATTATGAGGCGACAACATCGGACGCGGAACGCAGAACATCTTGGGGCGGTCTCTTGCCTCGATGCCTAGCGATCCGCTTAATTATAGAATACATGATGCGGGAAATTTGTTGCATGCACCATTAGCGGCCAAATGTCCGACACTCAGCCAACAGATCCAACTAAATTTGTCAAAATATTGCCAAGCCAATAAAAATAGAAAACAGAGAGAGGGAAATACACTGAAAAGCTCTTCTGTCACACTGGGCGATCGTTCAATCAATATCAGCTGGGGCCTGTGACAATAAATCTTTTCAGAGGTTAGTTTCCGCCGGACTTCAAAGTCGGACAAAGATCAGGGGGGGTGTTATTGCCACAGTTCCGAATGTGTGTGAACATTTGTTGCATGGACTTGCGGACTGCGGACTGCGGATTGCAATTAGCAATTGAACTCTTCTGTAACTCATTTCGGCCCTCGTCTAATCACTTTGATCTGCTGACCCAAATACAAATCCCATTCCCGGAGCCATAACAAATTGCATTTGGCCCCAATGAATTATATCATTCATCCGATTACCAATTGCTTCAATTTTATTTTATTTTCGTGGCGCCTCGCCCTCTTGACTCCTCTCTATGTTACCTACCCCTTCCACGGGCCGAGGCCCCTAATTTATTTGAGTGTGTTCATGCATATCGGGAGAGGATTCCGATTTCGATTTGGCTTTCGATTGCCCAATGGCAAAAGTTACTTATGGCGCTCGGAAATCCGGAAATGCCAATGAAATCAGGCGGGAAAATGGGAAACAATTCTTTCGGATGTTCGGGGTTGGGAAACTCGTTCAGCTTCGATCGAGAAACTTTTATTTATTACTAATCTGATTACCAAAAATCGTATTGTTTTCAATCCTTAAACTAAAATGCAATTCCATATTTCGAACATTGCCCAATATCCACGGCACATATGCCAACAGAATTAACATTTATATTTGCAAACGCCTCTTTTAATCGTTGGAAAATGCCCATTAATCGAGTTGGAATGCATTAAAATAATTGAATTTGAGTTCGAATAAACAGGAAGAGCCATGGCAGGAGGGGAGGGGGGCCAGGGAGGTACATGGCTAATCTAGATAAATATTGATTAATATTTGGAAAGGCATTCAGCAGCAGCGGCGGTGTCGGTGGCTCTGCATTGGGGGCTAACCCAGTAATGTTAGAGGGGGGACAGGGCAGAGGGGGTTCCACATATAGGCACGTACGACACGCCCTTTAATGCCATTGCCGTTGTTTCTGTTGGTGTTGCAATACAAAATATGGAAAATATAATTTGTATATTTACAATGCCTTTTGATAATACCAAATACATACCAATCAACAACGACAACACACTGCCAAGGCAGGCACAAATGAAGTCGAAGTTGTTCGCGGGGGGTCTTTAGCCAACACCCTGAAATGGAGAGGAGGCAACTAGCTGGGCTCGGTTAAGTTTCTTAGAATATTTAACAAATATTTCAGCTTAAAAATGTTTAGCTTGGGAAGAAGATTCACTTTATTTTGATATATTCCTTCGATAATAATGGTTTTAAATGGGTATTTCTGGTAGCCACCACTTAAACATCTTCTAAGAATAAGTAACCTTTGATATATTTTAACTACTAGCTTAGTTAACAAGCTAAACCACATACTTATCATATTATTCAGTGGGTAAACGACATTGTTCGTGTCACGCGACCATCTCCAAAGGGCGACAACTAATTGAAGACCGCTCCGCCCCCCATTTTACCCCCCTCTGGGCGACGGCACGCACAGCGCGGTGCCATCGAATGGAAATGGAAATAGATGTCGCCGTCGACTAAACCGAACCTCACCCAAAACGACGACCCGGACTATTCGGAACTGCGGTGTGGAACGTGGCTGCGGAGGCGCCACTCGCTGCGCCGATGATGTCTCCATGTCGGAATCCGCACAATGGAAATGACCGCTTGGCGCTTGAACCCTTTCAGCGAACTGGGCTTTATCATCAAAGGGAAATCAAGCTGTCAGTCAATTTATAGTTGTGGAGTAAACACAAAGGACAGGGCGCCCGATGTGGCTGGTGGTGATAGGGCCAGGTCAGAGTTCATATATTTCAATTAGCGGAAGCCACAAAAGCGGTTTTATAAACAGCAACTCTGGTAGCCACCAAACTTCCCAATCGAACACATTATAAATCCTACGATTAAGGTTTCTTTCTTACCATTATTAAGTGGAATTTATTTTGATTTTTTTCAGGACCCTTATCTGAGATTTTGACCGCCTTGGGCTCGGAGGTTGCGCTGCCCTGCGATCTGCTGCCGGGAACAGGAATCTCCGACAAGGTGCAGTTGGTCATCTGGTACCGCGAGGGTCATGTCAAGCCTATCTACACGTAAGTTTAAGATTTACATTCCTTATACATAGAATCTCATGGGAGTATGATTTATTTTACTCTTAAATCCCAGAATTATAATATCCCGAAATTAAACCTCTTCCTTCATATTTTATCGACTTTTTAACGCAGTCATCTTCCCTCCAAAATCCTACTAAATCTTCCTTAAGCTTTCTCCATCTCATCACCCAACTTTGCAGGCTCATCCATTTTGGTCCTCCGCCACTTCGCTCTCCTGGGATTGTTTCACAGTAACGCCCCGCTAAAGTGTCAGCTAAATGAATTTCACTTAATGATTTTACCTTACCAGCGGGGGTAGGCCCAGAGTTGAGCTCATATTTTTTTCGGATTTGTATTTGAAATTAGCCAAGGACCCGAAATGAATTCGGTTTCGATACCGTTGGGAACGGCAGCCAATTATAAAGAAACTCCCGGTGTTTAACGGGCTGAAGGAGGGGGAGGCGTGGCACATACAGAAATCCATACAGAGGCATACAAAGTAGGCGCTAGGCTCATTATAAATTCTATTAACGTGAGGCATTTATGTTGAATTTGACGATATAAACATTACTTACACAGAGCAACCTACGTGCGGGGTGGGGGTACGAACGTTTCGAGGGTGGGGTTAAGGTGAAAAAGTCCCACCCACTCTCCACCGTTTATTGGCACTCAAAGAAAATAGCACTTAATTGGGGACTATTCTATCTTTTAATCATTCTTAGAAAATCTTATTTTTCTCTGAAGGATTTTTTATGTTTTATTAAAAGTTTTTTTAATGCAGTTTCTAAGCTTACATTCCTAGTAAGAAATTATCTCTCTTATCACTTATTAATTGAGTAAAAAATAAATAGAAATATGCTTTATTTTTCTCAGTGTCTAACACGGCACGTTAGCAACTTTTAACAAGCTTATGAGGTAGAAGTACGAAAAGGAAAAGCATTTTGGGAGGCAGGGAATGCCAGGAAATGTCGCAAGTAATGGCAGCGGAGAATGTTCAGGCAGATGGGGAATATATATAAACACATATATAGCCATATAGACTGACTGATTGGCAGCAGCAATTCGGCTCAAAGGTCGCTCGTTGGCAACTCACTTTATATATTTTCAAGGAAAACCCAGAAGATGGAAAAATCTAAGAAACTGGGGAGGCAGCGCCAGGCAGGTGAAGTCGAGTGGAGTCTCAAGTAGACAGATGCGCAATAGACCAGAAATTGAATTTTATTTCATTTTCCATTAAATTCGTTCGTCTGTTCTCGGTGCACACGGGAATCGATGATGTCAAGTCAAAGTGTCAAAGTTCGCTGCCATAGAATGTGCACTCCTGCGGTCTCCCACTACAGTGTGCTCTCGATTGCAATTACCAATTTCATGGCGAGTGCATGGAAAGAGAGGGGGCAGCAATTTTTACGACCGCATAAAGTTGAGGTTTATGCAGATATCTCTTCTGCATTCTCCGCCCCTCGCCCGCATTTTCTTTATTGTTTTCCATCAATTTTAATTTGGTTTTCCCACACTTCATAAATTTTCCGTGTTTTGTGTTTCGCTGCTGCTTAATATGTTCTTTTTCGTTCTCTTCTGGCTTGCTGGAAAACTCAATATGGCCAAAAGGCTGCCGAAGGTCGAGAGATTAATTGCATGAGAAATTTGTTTTCCAATTGCCATGGATTATCCATGGATAACCTCTTGCCTCCCCGTCACTCCAGCCCAGCTCTCCACTCACTTCTCTACATAATTTAATTATGTTTAAAATCCATTAACAAATATCCCATCCATCTTGTGCCACTTACTCCTGGCCTTCTGGGTTGGGTTTTCCACTCTTCGAGTGCATTTCCCAAATGCGTGTTTCTGGAGCTTTCTTAAATGATAAATCATCCAAAGTGTAAAATGGGGCCTCTGATCTATTCGAAATGTGGGATGATCCGGGGGGAAAGTCGATAAATGCGGTTAAGTGAGGGCTAACTTGGTTTTTCATAATTATATTTATTCGATTAATCTTAAGCAATAATCACGAAAACGTACAAAGTTTATACCCGATTTTATTTTTAGCAGCAAAATCTAAACAAAAAATCACTAACTCGCATCCCAAAACCCATAAAGTAGAATCCTTAATCTTATTTTAGCCGAGTTTTCGCTTTGGAAATTGATAGTTCTTTTATAAGCCAGCACAGAATTTTCCCAATAACTCACAGCAGGAAAATAAGAACGTGAAATGCCTCCTCCATGCGCCTTTATGGCCCAACTTTAAGATACTTTGTGGGCTCTTTAAAGCTACTTAAAAAGTGCCACAAAAAATGTGAAAGAAATGTCCACAAAGCATTTAATTCATTGGGAAAACAAAGTGATATGAAAATTCAGGGAAATGCGGAAAATACAGAAAATTCAAAAAATAAAAGAGTAATCCGCTTAAGCCAAAAGGGAAACACAACAAGCACTAAATTGATCAATTAATTAATTGAAGTGAACTATAAAATGAAAATGGAAAAACACGATTTTGTGGGCTGGCCGATTGACGACGGGGCGTGTCACATCGAGGGCGGCAGTTGCAAGGCATTAACATAAATAGCAAAAATGTGTTTCTGGTTAATCTTTTTTGTTTTTTAATTTGCAGGAAAAGGTCAAACGAAATGCTGGAAAAAGAACGAAATTAAAATTCAAATTAAAAAGACTGAAACCAATTTAAATGTGACCATTTAAAAATGCTAAAAAATGCAGAGATAAAAAGCGAAAGCGAGGGGGAAATCAAAAGTTCTGTAAATGCATTTTACGACGTCTGTTTCGGTTGGGAGTGAGGCTTTTGGGCCGTGCTGACATTTAATGCGGCACTTTGTCAAAATGCATTGGCCAAAGCCATAAAACAAAAACGTTTGCCAATAACAATAAAAACAAAGTTCTTTCCCTCCATTCATGCACTTCGCCCCTCCCCCGATATCGTCTATATATATATCTAAAGTATAGCTGGACTATAGCTGAAAATAGTTCGACCCAAGGGAAAGCTAATTAAGTATTCCGCTTTTAGTGGATTCCCGGGATTTGACACACATTTCCCCGGCCGATGTTGTCTCAATTGTTTGGACAATAAAATCAATGAACCAGGTTAACACAATTTCCCTTATCAGTAGCAGGGTAATTGAAGGTGTTTTCGGGTATTGGTGGAACGTGTCAAAAGGGTTTTCCATGGCCAACTACATTTTATGGGCCATTAATGTCGGGGTGCTGGCTAAAAGGTTATATTTATGACAAGGCTTTGTGCTGCTATTTTAATGGGTGAAAATAAGTTCTGCTCTCCATCTAAGTAACTCTTTTTCATGGCTATATACTTACTGTAATCTAAATTTCCCTTAACTTAACCAACCCTTTTCTTCCCTTTTCAGCTTCGATGCCAGAGGTCGACCTGTTAACCAGGGCATTCCCTGGGCAGATGAGAGTGTCCTGAATAAGAAGGCTCACTTCCACCACGACACCAGCCCACCTGCCTTGCGGATCAAGAACATCCAGACCTCAGATGCTGGACTCTACAAGTGCCGTGTGGACTTCCACAAGTCACCGACCCGTAATTGGCGCATCAATGTGACAGTGCTAGGTGGGTTTCACTGTGCTTCATATTCCTCTAATATTTATCTAATATATCTAATCTACTTTATAGTACCACCCACCAAACTCGTGATTATGGACCACCATGGTGCCGAGATACGCGACCAAACAGCAGGACCTTACCTAGAGGGCGACAGCATCGACTTGACCTGCCTTTCCAGCGGCGGAGTTCCGCCTCCGCGGGTCTCCTGGTGGCGGGAACACGCCCTGATCGACGACTCCTTCCAGGTGCTACCCGATGGCTCCGTTCGGAATGTCCTGCGCATCAAGAACATCCAGCGGAAGGATCTGCTAACGGTAAGTCATCCACCTCAATGGATGGCCATTCGGAGTGTTTGCTCCAAATATCGTAAGCCTTATTTACGACTTTCGGACAAAGCGACTTCTAATACAATGGCTCATTCTTTGGACCAGTGATGGCAGTCGAATGTAGCTAAAAGTAGCTGAAGATAGCTATTAATTGGAATGTCACTAACAGTAGCTAAAAGTAGCTGAAGATAGCTATTAATTGGGATGTCACTAACAGTAGCTAAAAGTAGCTGAAAATAGCTATTAATTATTCTTAAAACGTTATTTTTATTAACGAAATCAATACCTTATCCTTGAAGAAACTTTCCTTTCTATTTACTTATTCCGAAAAATGCTTAAAGCTGCCAAACCGATTAGCTTCTAAACTTTGTCTATAAACTAGCCAGATTCCCTACTCTGACTCTCACCCCTTGGCAGCATCAGTTGGCCATTTATTTTCGGCTGGTCACAATGGACGACTTGGTCCGTGGGCCTCCGTTAATGACAGCGCTCCGTGTGGCAAGCGGCTGCCATACAATGGCTAATAGAAATCAAATGCAACCGACTGCATTGGGAATTGTTCCCTGGGTGGTTTCTGCGGCTTACCTCCTCTCTTTTCCCTTCGGAGAACACCATTTCCCCCGAGAGAATCCGACTCGTTGAGGCTGCTGCTGCGTTCTGTTGATTCTAAGCCGGACTTTTCTTTGGTCCGTGTAATGAACATTATTGTTAGACAGCGCTAATCCCGCCATTCACATCTCGGTTTCCGTTCAACCAGCTTTTCCAACCGAACGGCAAATTGTGAGGCGGTCAGGGCTTTTGTATCATGGATGAATGGCTGGAGTGGAATCACTTGAGTGTTGTTCATGTAATACCAAAAGTTATTAGCTTAAACTAAAGAGATGAATCAAGGCGGCGGATTGTGGGGATTTATGGAGTCAAATTGCGGGGAAATATTATTGAATGTTTCATGGAAAAAGGGAAACTTAAATTCTGTTGATTTTTAAACTGTTCGGCAAACAGATTTCCAAGGCAAATAATATTTATTTGTGTGGATTATTCACCCATTATCACATCTGCAAAATATAAACTTATTAAGGCAGAACAATTAAACATGATAAAATATTTAATAAACAGATTAACAGAGGCTTCCAGCCAGAATTTCTCGTATCAAAAAGCAGTCCATATTGGCCATTAAAAGTAGAACAACAAACAGGAGAGTCTAGTTTACCGACAAATGAAATAAATCCATCTTAACAGTTGTTAAAGCTGAATAAGCTTTGCAGCAGTTAAACTAACTCGGATTAAATATCGGAAAAACAAATTCAAGTTGATATGCCAATCGATTTTCCATTCAGTGGATCAAAAACCGTTCGATAATAATAATAAACACCTCGAGGTATCAATGACCCACTGTTTGACACTTCCCAGTTTCCAGTCTGAGTTCCAAGACCCCCTACCTGACCCAAGTATCTCTCCGCATAACGTTAGATATTCTTGTGTAACCGAATAGAAATTTATGACCTAATTTTCCAATCGAAACGAGACTTGCGGTGCGGCGAACCCAAAAGTTATGCAAATATTTTTATTGCCAGACATCGTTACAGTTTTCGTTTGGCCCAATAAAATGTCCAAAATGTATATGGCCTGGTCTGGTCGGGACCCAAGGAGTATCGCATTACCAGCCAGCCATTGGGGAATTTATGATATTGATACTTGCATTCGCCAACCTTTTGAACTCTTTGTGTGGCTGTCCTCAGTCTCTGTCTCTGTCTCCGTCTCCGACTCCGACTGAAAGCATAATTGATTAGTCTTTCTTGATATTGCTTCGTGTTCGATACACATTTCCCGCAATTAAAATTAAATGTTCGGAAGGTTGATTTATCATCGATACCCTGTCCTGGGCCAAAGCTCGTTGTTATTATTAGTAGTGAAAGGCAATTATTGTAATGAGCATAAATCATCGGGTTTCATTATTGTTCCTTCTGTTTTTCCACCTCACTTCCAGATGTACACCTGCCAGGCAACCAACGGCCATGTGGTCCCAGCGCTGACCAAGAAAGTTATCCTCGACATGAATCGTAAGTAGCTCTTTAAATACGCTTTTAATCAAAATTCACACACAAATATTATATTACAAACATTTTCGGGGCTAACCAGCACGCAGTTCAAGGTCGGCTCTTAGCTGGTTTATTGTTTTTGTTTTAGCTGCGGTTGTGGGCGTGACATTTTCATGGAAATTAATGTAATTAAAGTTTTGCCATTCTGCCGCAAGGACGCACGTCGACCACTCGCATATTCATCCACATCCATGCATTTATGGTTATGCGGGTTACGGGTGGCTTCCAGGTGGTTCAGCTCGCTATGCTAATCGCATTGTGGGTCCCTCGAGTGGGGCAGGGACACAGGACAGCCCCAGTGATGGGCATAATAAAATGTGTCATAAATAATGAACATTTCCATAAAGGTTGGTTATAGATGAGCAGGAAATTAAGCGGGATCCTTGGAAGCGCAAATTGCGCGATGTCCTTGTGCGGTAATAACTGAATTTCACAATGTTAATCAGCAGGGCTTCATAGGAAAACTGTGAATAAAACAGGCATTCTGTATCTATAATTAGCCTAACGGTTTCTACTATTTTGTTAAAGATACAAGAACTTTAATGCAAATTTATGCATTTCGGCCTAGTTAGTTATTTTATTAAAAGAGCGGATAAAATCAGTGATTAATGGGATTAGGAGTCAAGTTGGGAGTAAATTATTTATTAACAAATTACACAAATAGAAAACAATTAAAGCTGATGGAAATCTCCCTGAATTATTGCGATTTTTCTTGACAGTTCCGCCGCTTAGTCTGCTGTTGCAAGGCCTAAACCACGCCGTAATAGCTGGAACTCGCACTCACGTGACTTGCACGGCCATTGGAGCTCGTCCTCCGCCGGAAATTGTGTGGTCCAAGGCGGGTCAGATTGTCCGGGGAGCCACATCATCGGTGAGTGCTATCTAACCAGGGGGTATAGTCAGGAATATAACGTATTTTCCCACAGACCTCCTCCGATGGAAACACTACCATCTCTGAACTAATGCTGATACCCGTTCCCGAGGACAATGAAAGGCAGGTGGTCTGCTCTGTTTCCCTGAATCCAGGGATTACTTCCCAGCAACTGCATGAGGGTCATACGACGATAATGACCACTCTGGGAAATGGACATACCGGGCTGTATCTCAAAGATTCCAGAGTGCTTAATGTGACACGTAAGTTGCCCTTAAGGGAAGGAAGGTTTTCCCTGAAACTTAAATGCATCTTTTTATGCAGATGCACCTATTGTCAACCTGAACCTGGGAGCCCCTCTCGACCCGGATAATCTACTCAAGGGTACCGATGTCTATTTGGAGTGCGATGTGAAGGCCAATCCAGCAATAACACGGGTGGAGTGGTACCACAGTGTGAGTATATTTAAGATTATAAATATCTTTATTTAACAGCTAGAACTAGCAAAACTCAAAATCCCATAACAAACACAAATTGAATAATATTTGTTATCCTTTCTGCCCTTTGCAGGACAAACAACTCCACTCCTCGCGCGGCATCATCATCTCGAACCAGACCCTCGTCCTCCAGGGCATTTCGAAGTCCTCGCACGGGCAGTACTTCTGCAGGGCCACCAATCTCCAGGGCAGTGTGTCCAGCAACGAGGTCTACTTGGACGTGAAGTGTAAGTGCCCCACAACCCACTCACTTAACTTAAGCACTTCAACTTAGCACAGTAAAAAATAAGTTAAAACAACTTAAATAGTTTACATTTTTAATATTTTATGGTTATGGTTATAATTTCTCAATTACAAGAGAACTTTTTAATTTCGAATATCATTGATAAGAAGACCTCAGACTTAACCTTAATTTGCTATAATTTTTGCCTGTGCATTTCACACCCCTTCAGATCCGCCAGTTTGCAAGTCCGAGTCGACGATTATACGTGCCGCGCTCAAGCAGACAATCAACATCACCTGCGAGGTGGACGCCAATCCACTCGATAATCTAAATTACAAGTGGCACTTCAACAACTCGCTGGAGAGCCTCATCGAGCTGCCCCAACTGGGGGTGGTGGCTCCGGTGATGCTGGCCTCCGGTACGGATCTGAACGGATATTATCAGCGGAGCAAGCGGAAGCACTCGCACGGAGTGCAGCAACGCCTTCTACACGGCAGGCACGGCCGAATGGCGGCCGTGAGATTCGAGGATGACGACGAGGATGGCTATGGGGAGTTCGAGGAGTATGGCGAGGATGTTGGCCAGCCCTTCACCCAGATGGTCTACTCCAACATGGTGCACAAGAACCACGTGGAGAACAGCAAACAGCAGCAGCGGAAGCAGCTGTCCCCTCAGCAGCAGCTGCAGATGCCATCCGGCGGATCGTCCGGAGACAGCCACCATGGCTCTTCCTCCTCCTTATCCTCATCCAGTGGAGTCCTTCAGTTGGCGGAACGCAAGCGACTAGTTGCCCTGCACAAGCAGCATCATCGCGGAGGCGTGGTCACGCCCCCGACCACCACCTCGGCGCCCCCGCTGAACAACGTGTACAGCTACCACGTGGAGAGCTACGAGAGCTTCGGCGCCATTTCCTGCGTGGCCAGCAGTCAGATGGGCCACAGTCCGCCCTGTTGGTATCACATCCAGCCGGCAGGTGAGTGTGTGTCGGACTCTGTCCAAGCGGAGACGGTAGATAAAGAAGGCCGGAGAGCAGTCAGGAAATCAGTTGATACAACGGGGTAGCTAGGGATACCCTTTCTGAGGGTATCTTACTTGAGGAGATAGGTTTGCTTATAACTTAAAATTAATCAGTTTGAAATTCAAAACTAAATCTCTTAAAATAATAAGAAACAAGCTTTCTAAAATAAGGGAAAACTAAAAAATTTGCCTAAATTAAACCATTAGTTAGGAGGGATTAAATCGAGATAAAAGTCTTAGCTACTCCTCCCAAAAGGGTATGGAAAAAAATTTAATTAATTTCAGATCGAGGTGGGCGGCAACAGCAAACGGCAAACATGTTGACTCGATTCGGCTGCCGGTTGCTGGTTGCTGGTTGCAGGTTGCTGGCTGGTCAGTAGATAATTGTGGCACGCAGCACGTACGGATACCGGCGAGTGAATCTCTGCACGTTATTTACATTTTGCCGGACGCTGGGCGAAGTTGTCTGGCAGGCGGCAATTTAACGCGTTGCTCCCCGCCTGTCTGTTGGTTGTCAAGGGGTTAAGCGAGGGGCATTGGAGGGGGATTCTGGACAGATCCTGGCAACAGCAACAGCAGCATCCACTTGTTCGTCCGTCCGGCAATCGCCAGCTTTTGTCCGTGACAGCAATAAAAGCCATGTTTACCAACGCCATCTGCATGTTTGCTTCACCGATGCTGCCGCTGCCACTGTTGCAACGGCAACTGCTGCAATCTGTGAGCGGCCCGATAATCTGATAATCAAATGCAATAAATTGCCAGGGTACATCATTTATTTATAAAACCTCCGCTGGCCATGGCCCAAAAACACGCACCAATTCTGGTGCGTAGCCGCAGGATAACAACACACCCGAAAGGCCATTCAGCGAGAGTGTTCTGGCTAGGGGGTATCTATAGCCAATGGAAGCCATCAAAGGGCCTTTAGGGGTGGCAAGTTAAACCATGTTGTGGTGTGAAAAATAAGGTTAAATGTTAAAATGAAAAACTTTAAACTGATTTTTCAATTTATTTCACGTTTTAGACCTTCCCGAACCGGTGAAGAACTGCACGGCCTTCAATGCCACGGCCAACTCGCTGCAAATCCAGTGCATTCCCGGCTTTGATGGCGGCATCCCACAGCACTTTCACGCCCAGATCTACGACGAACTGAACCGCCAGATACTGTATAATGCCTCGTACAAGTACCCGGAGTTCACGGTGAAACGTCTGCCCAGCGACTCCGTGTTCGTCATCCGGATAACGGCGGTGAATGCCCAGGGGCCCAGCAAGGCGGCATATCGTCTGCGAGGACGCACGCTTTCGGCGCCTTTACTGCGGACAGGTGAGTTTTCGGCACTCGGAGATGTACTTTTAGCCGGTTTTGGGGGAAAAGTAGCTAATTAATTTGATGAAGATACATCAAAAAGCCAATATTTGAAAATTAGTTTGAGTTTTTATTACAAGAAGGACTTACATTGAGACTTTTTAAACTTTTAAGATTAAAACTTAATTTTTGAGATTTTAAGTTGTCTTTTCAGTTAATTATAATTGTCTTCTTCTAATTTTAATATCTTACCATTATTGCTGTAACAAGCTTAACTTCTTTTTAAAACTATTTTAAAGGCCATAATGTCAATTTTTCATCTACACAGCTTAGAATGAACACATTTCCCATTTAATCTAAATGGACACCAAAAATATTTTGAAAGCATAAATATTATTCAATCTAAATTCCTATAAAAGAACAAATTTATTTTATTAACCACTTTGGCTATTTTAATTGGGCTCATTGCAATTGTTTTGCCTCTCAAACGAGGTCAACTCTCTCGCAAATGGGTTCATTGTTCGGCTTTTGTCATTCAATTTTTCACAATTTTCCCCGCATTTTCGCCATTTTCTACAGCCTCATCGACGGCGGTGCTGGTACAATTGACACCCCTGCTGGGTGCCCTGGTCGGCGTGATTGCCACACTTATTCTGGTGGCCATTTGCGTGGTGATCGTTATCAAATTCCGTAGCAAGCGGGGCGGCCGGAGGCATGGCAACGGGGCCGATGCCACCACCACGGAAGCCGACAAGGGCAGTGCCGAGCCACTGTCCCGCAACATGGGCAGCCACTCTAGCCTGGAGGACAAAAATCCGGATGTGGTACCCCAGGAGGCCAACAGCGAGGACGAATTCCACCAGGAGGAGAAGGCCTTCGACCGATTGAATATGGAATCGCAGAGGATTTTGTACACCCCGCCGACGCGGCTTAACACTGCCTCGCCGCCGCCACCCTCGCTGTCACCCACTTTTGGCAAACAGGTGAATATATTTGTTTGGTCGCGGCAACGATTTCTGATTCCACAGATTCCATTTTGTGCATGGCTTATACAGCACGTGGGAGAGAAATGTTGCCTACTTTACGGCTGTCGATATTGAAAGTGACGCCAATAACCTGTAATTATTAGTGAGCTTTTAGGGGCTTGGTTTAAAATGTGACTAGTGGGTTGATTTTTAGAAGGAATTTGATTGATTTTTGATTAGGTTATGGCTTTAGTATGTTTAGTAAGACTTATCTGCTTATAAAACCTTATATTCTCATATACCTTCTTAAGAAAGAGTACTGCCAAACTTCGATTTCATCCTCTCCCGTACATTTTTGCCGGCAATTAGCCAAAAACCGTAAATAAATTACACAAATTAGTTTCGTTGTTTTCCGCACCAACAACAAGTTGCTGGCATGCCGAAACTTTTCCTTAGTGTCCACGTCCTTTGCCGTTTTGCTTAAATTTTTATCATTGTTTGGTTTTTCCTTATTTTCCCCATTTTCCTGTTTGAGGTTTGAGGTGGGAAAAGCCAGCAGCATCAAATTTTGATGAGCAAAATGCCAGTCGTTGCCAGCAAAAGTTCAAAAATGTTTAGCTTTTTGTTTAGCTTGGCTTTTTGTAAATTTCTGTTGGTCTGTCCCGTCCTGTCCCTTCGAGTTGAGAGTTCCTAACAAGCTCATTAGAAGTTCTTGGTGTTTGTGTGGGTCAGTTTGGGAACTTTTCGATTAGAAATTGTTTTTGTCAGCGTTCGTCATAAATGTGGCATCGGATAGGTTGGGGCAAGTACTCGTCAAACTTTCAGTTCAAATATTACGGAGCACAAAGGGGAACTAATTAAAAACTAAGCAAAAATCAAATTCGTTTTCTATTTCAAATGGAAAAAGTAATTAATTTTTGGTTCGACTTTTAGCAAGGTAGAATTTGAAAAAACTTTGGCAATATAAATGCTAAATGGAACTGGGAATAATAAGGCTTTAGAGGTTGTTATTATATTTTTAAATTAAGCGTAAAAGATTGCTAAGAAAACTCTTTGGTTTGACTAAGTGTATAACCTTTTTAACCTCTTAAGAAATATTTAATTAATTGCTTTTTTATCTTTCTCCCCCTCTTCCGCAGTACGGTGAACTCTCGCTAACCACGAATCCTGCCTTCAGCCTGTACAACACGCCCCAGCGTGCTCCTGCCGTACAGCGGCCCGTTTACACCGCACCACCGCCCCTTTTGTCTACGAGGACGCCCCCGAACATCTACACCCGCATACCGGGTCGAGGGGGTGGTGGCGGCGGTGCAACGGTCACGGCGGCAGGACCCGGCGGCTATCACCTGCCGGCGTACGAGACACGGACCTCGCCCACCTCCCCGTACGGATCCACCACCACCTGCACGATGCCACTGCTGGGCGGCCAGTCCAATGGATCGCTGCAGACCAACGGCAGTGGGTTGGGTGGCGTGGGAATGGTAGGTGGTGGTGGTGGTGGGGCATGCAACACACTGCCCCATCCGGGCAGCCTGCATGTGGGTGGCATATCGGCGGCCTTGACCAGTTCGGTGACCAGCGGAAATATCACCATTGGAGCGGCACAGTCGCTGCTGACATCGCCGCGCTCCCAAACGGCCACGTATAGCACCACGCTGGGTGGTGGCCTGGCCGGTGTGCAGTCACCGCTCCTGATGAGCGGCGGCGGGAACTACGAGACGGTGAGCTCCTGAGAGTTAGCCAAAGAGGACATCAAGTGCCAGATCGTGTGTATTGGCGGGAGCAGTACGTGCACCACCACCACCCTGGGCGCCGAGCGCACCACCATCGTCTAAAGGACGACGACTAGGAGGCACTGATGAGCAGTCGAAGAGGTAACTGAATCCCAAAATCTGTATTATAGTAGTTAAGCTGCAATGAAAACTCGACAAGACTTCCATGGAAAGGGCAGCAGGAGCAGATGGAAAATAATCTAAAGTAAATCATATGATTATATATATATATAGATATAGATATAGCCTATGTGTACTGGATTTAGCATTGTTTTCGAACCCGACTAAACTGTAACTGTAAACCACAAAGGAAAAGCATTTATTTAGTTTACTACTTACTTACTGTACAACTCAGATCTGTCTTTGTGCGCAAAAACAAAATGGAAAACAAGGAAAAACTAAAACAAAACAAGATTAATAATGGAAATCTTCAGTGAACATAATGAGCTATGCTTGTGAAATAAACGAGAAACTAGTTTAAACTTCAAACTAAGAGATTAACCGGAGGAGCGCTGGTTAACTAGTTAAGCTATAGATGTGTATATATGTAACCTAATTTAGGATCAGGTCAGCTAATACTTAAACTAGTTTAACGATTTAGCCACTTAATGTAGCCTAAACTAAATTGAACTTAGTTAGTCACATTGCGAATCTACGAAAAGACTATCCCCCTGATCATATATATGATAAAATTACAGAATTTAATGGCATATCTCTATATCGACATAATACTTATATAGCACAGAACAAGAACAACACAGCAGCAGCAGCAGCAACAACAACAACCGACAAAGGAATCTGAAATAGGCGCAAACTATATATATTAAAGGCGATACGATACGATACGATACGATAATGAAATGGATTATCCTTGTATATGTGCATCGAATCATATTTTGTTAAATGTGAAATGAATTTTATAAGCATCTGTTGTCGAGAACTTTATCAAATCTATATAGTACGTATATATAAAAGATCTGTATGTATCCATGATTAAGCAGCGCGCAAAAAAGAAAAACAAAAGAAAAGTTCAATGTGTCTCCGCCACCACCTGCCCAAAGAAAAGCCCAATTTCCAATTCAATGTAGTTGCTCTAAGGCCGAACTTAAAGTTTTCCATTTTCTATTTCCCATTTAATGATTCTTTCTCCGATCACGATCACACCCCCACCCACCATTAGTCTACAAAGAGAAAAACCAACATGAAAAGTGCTTCTTCAATGACAAAATCAAATTGAATTGTGACTCGAATTATAAATTGGATAAGCGAAAAACTTAAGAATGAAATTTAATTTTGGTTTAAACTTAGCCACTAAGAACTTTCGACTCTACAAACATAAACTTAGGCATATGAGTATTTTTTTAATTAACCCTTGATTTCTAAGCGAATTGAATATTTATTTCTCGTGCAAACATCGTTACTTTTCATTTGGTTTCCCTTCAATGTAAAGCAAATGAAAACTTAATATTGCAAACGAGCAGAAACAAGTGAAAATAAGTGAACAAAAACAAATAAAGAGGAAAATGTGTATAAAAATGACCAGTTTTTGTGTTTAAACCAACCGAGGGGGGAGGGATAAATATTTGCAGGAAAATCAAAACTCGTGAGTCAGCCGGATGGAGTGGAAAATGCTGGAAAATCCCTGACCAAAATAAAAATTCTCTGACTTTCCCTTGCAGTCAGCTCGGACAGCTCGTTTTCCCTGATTTATTTGGAAATATTTTTCATAATTTGCGGCCAGTGAGAGGGGGGGCCGGAGCATACCAGAGACACTCGTAACAAGCCCATTTCACCACAGGACATGAGTCGTGTACGCATATTTGTCCTTTTGGCAGGACACGCAATACACTTTTGGAATTAATTAACGCAACCCCAGACGAAGCCCAAAAACCACTCAACCACCCAGAGACCCAGACCCTGAAGGACCACCCCCACAACCAAACCGCCAGCACCATCACCATCACCCGAACCGAAAACAAAGCAACGACATGTGTGAGTGCCTGTGGAGTGGTGCAGGATAGAAGGATGGATGGATGGATGGATGTGTGGAAGGATATGGGCGCTTGTTTGTTTGTCCACATCCTGCGGCGAAACTTGTCACAGACTAATTTCGTGTCTCAGCTCATAAATTGATATTAATGAGCCTACGCCTCCTCCTACCCACCCATTCACGAATCATTTTTCGCGTTTGCCTAACAAATATTTAACTTTCGGTTGAACTCAATTCGACTTGTTTTGGCTTGGCTCGTTAGATTCCCTGACAGTTACAAAGTGCCAGTCAAGTAGATGCGTAATTCGAGCAGGACACCAATGTCCTGCGGCCACTTCGACATGAGTCGGCATTCAAATGAACATGTGTGGTGTTGCCTTCCATGGGAGCCAACTTTCTACTCAGCTCCCCAGAGGAAAACAGACACATTCCGTGTAGCAGCAAATTGAATGAATCATTTGTGTTTGCCACAGAAAAACTTGCTTGGAATTCCATGAAATGTGTAAGTTCATTAACAGCTTTTTGATTATTAATCAAACTGAAAAGGTAATAAGGCAACCAGGTAAGTTTAGATGGGTATATCAAACTTAAGCCCTGGTATGCTTAGTTTATTTATATTAAAGAGTAACTTCTTTCATTTTCTTATCTCTGAGGCTACCATTTTGGATGTTGTTCATCTACAAAGATAACTCAGAGTCCTCATCGGAACTGAGTTCCAAATCTGAGCCCAAATTCCCTGTCTTTTTCCCGGCGGCTGCAAGATCTCGTATCTTGTCATTTTCCTCATCGCTGTCATCACTGTCATCACTGTGATCACTGTCATCATCTGAATCTATAAAATCCTTTGCCTTGACATTTTTATACGAAGTATTCTCCACCGCTTTCTTGAGAGGATTTTGGGTCGTGCAGTCTGGCAGATCGCGCATCTTGTCATTTACCTCATCGCTGTCTGACGATTCTGTATCTATGAATTCCTTTGACGTGTACTTTTTAGACGTAACACTCTCGACCACCTTGGGCTCCGTTTTCTTGCGGGGTTTCTTGGGCTTCTTACGCTTTTTGCAGTCATCATCCGAGTCCGCAAAAGTAACTTTCTTACGCTTCAAGCCACGCTTTGGAACTTGAGCAGCTTCCTGGTCCGAATCATCATCAACGTCCTTCTGGTTCTTCTTACCACGTCCCTTGCCTTTACCCTTAGTTGGTGCCTTTTTGGATGGCTCAGACTTCAAGGGTTCCACTATGATTTTCTTAGTGCGTGCCAGGATTTCCTTCCGCTGGGCCATCTGGTTCTCGCGCATCACACGCTGCTGCTCCTGACTCTGCAAACGCTGCTCCTGGAGCTGGTGCTGGTGGGCCAGGAACTGCTGCTTCTGCAAACGGGCGCGGTCCTCGTTCGACAACATTAGATCCCGCACTAGGAGCAGCTGTTCTCCCAATTTGTTCGACAGTATTTTGCACTCATTGCCCCCCTTAAAAGCATAATGCGTTGGGATTGTAAGTTCTTCCTGAGGCAGCTGGTGAAAGATCCTGGAAAATGTAAACTTATAATCTGATTTCTTAATAGTACTGTCTTCATTAAACTCACTTGGCTGCCACCTTAAGTTCAAGATCGGCCTTAATGAGATCATTCAATTCGGGTCGGGGAAGAGCCAATACCCGCTTTGCATCCTCCTTAATAGCAAGTGCCAGATTGTAGACAACGAAAGGATCTTGGGGGGTCAAGTGACGGGCCTTAAGCAGCCACAGCTTCGCCTCATTGGTTTTTCCTTCGCCGTACAATGCCCTTGCTAAGTAATGCATGACGTCCACACTATTTTCCGGTAAGAACTCCTTCAGGCACTGCTTATAGGTCTGAATGGCCTGCTTGAATTGGCCCTGGGCCAGGGCTATGTGAGCCGAATTCAGAATAGCGGGTGGACACTCGTTACCCGCTTCGACGATTTGCCTAAAGATAGCTCCACCAGCTTCAAGATTACCGCAGCTGCTTAGGGCTGCTCCCAGTCCATTGGCTGCCCACAAGTTCCGCGGACTGCTAGCGAGAACCTGCAATTTTACGATCAAGTTTTAGTTTCGGAATTCATTATATTTACTTTACCTTCCCGTAGTAATTCATGGCTTTCTTCTGCTGGACTTTGACCAAAGTCTTCTCGCCTCTACTCAAGTAGTTATGTAATTTTTTCAGGCAGAAATTGCCCAAAGCCGTCAAGACGTAGTTATCCTGGCTTTTCTTAGACTCACGCAGAATCAAATTGTAGTTGGACAAAGTAAAGTTGTTGAGATTCATTTTCATATAGCAGTCGGCCAAGTAAGATCTGAAAAATTTGACAATTTGAAAGGCAAATCTTAAGCAATTAAGAAAGAAATCACTCACCTGACTGTCAAGTTATGTTCATCCGCCTTCAGGGCATTTTTGAAGTAATCGACGGCTAAATGCAGCTTATTCTGGCGCATGGCCATCACCCCCAGTCTCAGGAAGCAATCGCAATAGTCCGGAAACTCAATGAGTATTTTCTTGTAAAGAATCTCGGCCTGATCATACCTATGGAGATCTTCCATGATCCGACCATGGTTGAAACGTATGGTGAGCAAGTTTGTCAATTGGTGCTCGCCCGTCATGGCCCTACATTTTGAGTAGGCCAATTTAAGGGTTTCCAGGGCCTGGTCAGGCATTTTGGCTGACAATTCAGTGGCTGCCAGATTATTGAGCCACTCAATCGGGACCTCTTCTCCCAGACTCGAGTAAGCACTCATGGCCTGGCGGTATGCATTAACGGCCTCGGTCCATTCGCCCTTTTGCTCATAGGCAAAGGCCAGACTTAGCCTGCTATCGAAGTCCTGGCGACTTGAGGCTTTCTTTTTCACCACCTCGGACAGCATCTCAATGGCCTTATCGATTTGTCCCGGGGATCTTTCTATGAGATAAATTTTGGCCAACAGCCGCATTACACTCGGCTCGTTGGGCTGTACCTGGAGGAATTTTTCCAAAAGGTTCTTGGCTCTATCGAATTCTTCGTCTCTGACGAACAGTTGTGCCAGTCCCATCAGGGGCAGAACGTAGTCATCGGGGGCCAATTTGTTTGATATAATGTAGTAATTCATGGCCTGGCCGAGTTCGCCGGTTGCATGTAAAATCCTGGCCATATTGAAGGAATTCTGCGACATCACCAGCGGAATGTCGGAGAACCTATATGCATTTCCAGCCAACTCCATGACCTTATCGTGATTATTGGAAAAATAGCAATGGGTGGCCAGAATGCTCAGGACCACCGGATGGGATTGGTCTAATTCGTAGGCCGCATTCAACAGATTTATGCCATCCTGATAGGCCTGTTTATCGCCTTGGTTCAATTTCAATATGGCCATGTCGAGAATCGCATTTATGCACCGACTATTATTACCCAGAGCCATCTCAAACGAACGACGGGCACTGTCTAGTTCGCCCATCTTCAGGAAACAGTGGCCAATACCGACACGAACATCGGCGGGTCCTTGAGGCTGGGCCATCAAAACGCTCTTAAAGTAACCCAAGGCCGCAATGTAATCTCCTCGGTTGAAGGCCAAGCACCCGCGTCCAATCAGAGCCAAAATATTATTGGGCATCTGCCTGAGAACACTAACAAACTGGGCATCCGCGTCTTGTGCTCCGCCGCTGGATAACATCAAGGCGAATCCCTTCACTATCTGCAGTTGACGATCGCCAGACCGCTGATAGCCGTCCAGAGTTTTGAACAAGTTCATTACCTTGGCCTGTGCCGCCGCACGGCGTTTGCCCAATTCCCCGTAGGCCACTTTGGTGAAATACGCAGCCAGCAGGATATAAGCCCGGCCTATGTCATTTTCGTAGGCATTATACCTTCTTTGGCATTTTGTGATACCTGACTCCAGGAACCTGACGAATAAATCTTTGCGATTCTGCGAGTAGTAGCCCAGCTAAATATTAAAATTAATTAAATAAACCTTTGCATTACTTGTTACGGGAAAATCTTACAGCTCTTTCAATACAATCGCGTAATAGTAATCGCTCCAAAGCGGGAAAAGTCTCCGCCGATACACCAGCCACATCCATTTTTCTTTATGAACACCCGAAACTGTCGAAATAAAATAGTAATTCTCAGTGACAAGTAGGATTAGGATTGACTAACTCTAAGCAAATACTAAAAAAGAGTTGCCACGATAACGTTTTGGTTCTAAAAACTGCCAAGAAAAATGTACATTATCCCTGCAGGATAAAAATCAAATCGAAAAAGAACAAGAAGAAACGCTATAGTCGAGAGACAAATTATCTTTGGTAAATCGATAGATATTGACAAAAATATGTTATACAAGGTCAAACGAAGACATTCATTATAAAATTATGAACGGCACAGTTTTCAGCGGTTTGTCGGTGTTAGAGAGGGCGCACGGTGTTAGAGTAGAGCACAACTTTCTAGCTCTTATAGTTTCCGAGATTTTTGCATTTTTGATTTTCCGGGTTTTATGGGTTTTAGGGTGGGCGTGGATAGATAAAAACCTACATACTTAATCCGAACTTTCTATCACTTATAGTTACCGAGATTTCAGCTTTACAACAATATGCGAAAACCGTCTCTCGAGCTTGGTGGGCGTACGAGTGCGTGTGGCCGGATAATGGTACCACCATAAGATGCGCTGGCATCTCAAGATTATACAAAGATTTTTCTTCCGTTATTTGTGGGCGTTATACTGAGCTTGGCAGGATGCTGTAACAAACATGCGCTGCGTAGGGACCGAAAGAATCTGCCTGCTTAATCTCAACTTTTTATCTCTTATAGTTCCTGAGATCTCAGCGTTCAGACGGACGGACGGATGGACAGACGGACAGACGGGCATGGCTTATTCGACTTCGCTATTGATCCTGATCAAGAGTATATATACTTTCGGAACCACTTTCTTCTACCTTTTACATACTTTTTACTCTACGAGTAACGGGTATAAAAAGAAAGAATAAATCCAAAATTCCTTTTTGGAAATTTTGTTTTTTTAATTTTAAACATATTTATTAGAGCGCTGATACTGATACTAAATTAACAACAAATTTTATAAAAATAACAATATAAACTCACCAAAATTCGTTTATTAATCCACAAAGTTAAAAAATTACACCAATCACCTTTAATATTAACCTTACACCGTCAATAGCCTGTTTCAATGTCAATGGCAGGGCTTCGATATAAAATCACTTCGATGACGTAAATCACACTGATTGCTATCCACTTACGTTTTCAGTTTGAGCGCAATTATTTCATGACTCCGCTTCGACTCGATTATCAAAGGTTTTTACTCGCATTTTTTGCTTGTCACCAAACTTGACCCAAAAGGTGCAGGCAAACAATCGAGCTCTCATTACTGTCAGTCCGTCAGTTTGTCAGTTTGTCAGTCGACGTGTCCCTCTACTTTGGCCAATTGTCGGTTTGTTGACGGAGTGTAAAAATAAACAAACATTCTGCTGAACAATGCTAATCCATTCGATATGGTTTGCCCGGATTAGCTACCAATTCCACATCCGCATGTCGTTGTTTTGGCCAACTTGTTCTTCTCATCTGGTTCTCAGAGGGGTATAAATACTTGGCTTCGAGATGGGAATGGCATCAGTCAACGCACTTCCAGTCTCTGAGAACGTTCGTAGAACCCAAACACAAAACCAACAATCAACATGAAAGTAAGAGAACTTGGGACAAAAATATCCTGAAGTTTGTTTTGAAAAAAGTAATAATTTTCAAAATCATTTCTTGATTCCCCTCTAGTTCCTCATCTGCTTGGCTCTCTTCATCGCCGCTGCCCAGGCTCATGTTGTGGCACCCGCCGTGGCCACCTATGCCGCTGCTCCGGCCCTGACTTATGCCGCAGCCGCTCCTGTTGCCACTTACTCTGCTGCCATTCCTCGTTCCTACTCCGCTTACGCTGCTCCCTCCGTTTACGCCGCCCCGTCGGTCTACGCCGCCCCCTCCGTCTACTCCTCCTCCTATGTGGCCGCACCTTCCGTGTACTCCGCCTACGCCGCACCCGCCGTCGTCTCCACTCTGCTCAAGAAGTAAAGTGTTCAGATCGATCAAATGATATGTCTCTACTTTTGTCTACGATTTACCAAGAAATAAAGCTGTGAATTCATGAAAATCTATTTTGGGAATGTTTTGGGGAAACACAGGAAAAAGATAAGGAAATTTATTAAATATAAAAAGAATATAAGTTTAGTTTGCATTTAAAATAAGAAATGATGCGATTTAATAAGAAGAAATAATATTAAATCGATTTTAGGTACATTTTGTAAGAAAATAAATAACCGAAAATGAAACTGGAAAAGTGAAGAAGGCATTTAGAGAGGAAAGTAAGTAGTAAAGTAATTGTTACTCGTTTGGTTATTAATCAAAGAAAGAGGAATCATTTTCGCCTCACTTAACTTCGTACAAATATTCCCAAGTTCAGCCCCCAAACTTCCACTTAGTAATAGTTTAAACATACTAACTTAATGCAGAAAGGATAACGCCTGTTTTAGTGCCTAGATGAGCCAATGAAGTGGTCAGGACCTTCTGGATTCATGCTTCTGCTCAGCACCTGAATTCCCCCAAAGTGTTTAAGGTTAATTCGTCGGCATACATATTTTATTTAAACTTGCTTGCTGGCCCAGTTCGGAGCCTGGCATGTGGTTCATGTTATGGCATCCACCCGCCCGTTAATGTTATGCAAATGAATTACGACTTGACTCGGCTGGGATTGTGCCATGTTCAGGCACGTGGCTAACACACACACACACTCCTCAGGCAGTCAAGAATATATTTAGTTATAATCCCCAACATAGGCGACCCATAAACATGGACCACAGGCAGGACTTTGAGCCAACTCCTGGAGTTGAGTACTCCCATGTCCGGGCGGATTTATTGATTGTTTGGTAATGCACTTATAGCCCAGCGAAAACCTTATTTTTTGTCGGGAAAACTGCTCCCCTTTCTCGATACACTTCCGACAGACGATTATGCAGAACAACAAAAGTTTTCCCCGCTACATTTCCGGGGAAAAAGTTTAGCTTTAGCCTAAATCACTTAGACCTCAGACGAAAAACAAGTGTTGGCATGTCGAAAAATCAGAAGCCTGTGTGTGTGTGTGTGTGTGTGTGGTGGGTGGGAAAACTTTAGAAAGTTTTTGGCAAAAACAGCAACAAGCAGGAGTCGAAAGTTGCGAAATCTAGATACCATTTCATCTACGAACAGGGAAGCCGAGTGCTTTGACTTCCAGTTGAAAATTCTAAATAATTAATCAACAATTTACTACAGTTTGTCCTGGTAAATATTTAATTAACCATTTGCCAATGACATTTCGAAAATATACAAATACCCAGTATCTACCTCTTTAAACTGGATCTTTCAGCCATTGACTGGGCAAATAAATTATTTAAACGTCAACAGACAAATTAGAGATTTGTTTTGGATGGTCGGTGGACGGTGGGGAAAATGGGGAAAATATTGCATAAATTATGGATGGCAAGCATTGTCGGCAATTAAGTGACCAGGGTAAACGAGCTAAGGAGCGATTATTTGTTCTACTGTTATGGAAAACAAACAAACAAATTGCCTGGAATCAGTCGGATATAAAAGACGACGGATTTAATCTAGGTAATTTTGTGCATTGGCACTTCAGACGTCAGGCTCCGGCTTGTTTCTCTGTTGGCTGTTTTTATTTCCAGTTTTTTGTTCTTTTTACTTTAGACAAGGACGTGACAATCCTGGCACAAGTCGCCATTGTCAATGGCATTTTCAGCAAGACAAAGGGAAACCAGAAGCGCTCTCTCCCCGTCCAGATTCTCCCGTTTTCCTGCCACTTGAGACGCAGCCAAATGCCCCAGGACGTGTTTGATATGCACTCCATCCTGGCATGGGCTTAATTACAATGGGAAGGACAACAATACAACAATATTGTGAGCACACGAAATATATATAACAAACAACTTCCTTGCCGATGCAGAAAGGGGAAATGTATATCGGATTATAACCACTTGGTAAAAGCAGCTTTCTCCTTATTATTCTATTCGATTTCAGTTGCAGCATCCTCAAGTATCCTGCTGAATTCGAGGAAAAAACGAGGAAAGCGGAAAAGTGCTGAGAATATAACTCAGCTGCATTATTATTTTATATTTCTTGGCACGGAAATTATGTATATATTGCCACTGAAGAGGTATAAGTTGCCTTTTGATTCATAATTCCAGCAGCAGATTAGGTTACCTGCTGGAGTTATCGACTAATAAGTCAATTTTATATTAAATATTGAACATTATTATTCCCTACCCTAGAGGTAGTAAGTAACAAGGTTTAAAATTTCCAAGAAAATAAGAAAAGTGTGTAAAATCTCTAGAAATTTGTGCAGCTTCCTGATTATGAATGCTAATATAATACTCCACCCATGCACCTGTTTAAAATACTTACATATAAATTATTTCATAAGATGGCAAAAGTATTCCTTTTCATTCTAGTTTTCATCAACTCTTTAAACTTGCAATGCATAAAACATGCTTTGCAGTGACTTGGCATCCTTGTGCTCAAATGAACCGGAATTCCTATTTCATGTTAGAATCCATAAAATGAAAACTTTTGCTTTTCCGCCCAGCTTTGCGCTTAAATTAATAAAACATTTAGCCAACTTGAGTGTACGTACACTTTCCTGAGCAAACAAACTAAAATTAACTAAAAATGTTGAGAGTGGCTGAAAGCAGCAGTAGAAACATTAAGTAAACAGCCCAAAAGTATGCTTCAACTTTGGGCATTACATAAATTCCACACACACACACTACACTACAAGTTAAGGCAACAAAAGCACATTAAAGCTTAGATAGCGCGGGGAAAACGAGAAGGGGTGTCCGGAAAAGAAGCTAGCAAACAACCATAACATTTATCACGAACACTTAACTTGGCTAAAAGGGGGAAAACGCTGGTAAAGCGGGGGGAAATCGAGGCGAAAACAATGGTGCTGGTGGGCGGTTTGTTAAATCAATTTGATAAACTGTCAATAATGAGAAATAATTTAATGCGCAGCCTCCAAGTCAACCGGAGAGAAGGAAGGCTTGGGAAACAGATTTCCCTCGACTCATCGTCATAAGCAATTATGATGAACTTGAGCTGGATTTTGGCTCCTTTTCACCCGATTTTCCCCCATCATTCCGCTCCCTGTGTTTGCTATTAGCACTTGCTAAAGTTAAGACAAATTTTTGGTTACTTGGACAAGCAAAAGCCGAGATTTATCAAAGATATCACCGAGATGGACCAGTCAACAATAACGCAAAGTGTCAACTGAAGAGGCCAGAGAGAAGGGGAAGGAAACAAAGCCGGGAAGGGATTCGGAAAACTGGAGGAAAAGCGGATAGAGGAAAAGCAGATGAAGAAGCAACAGAACAGAAAGGCAGGCAGATAACAATGGCAAATATGGCAGCCGAAACACAGGGGAAAACTGTGCCCTCAAATAGGGGGTTACTTTAACAAAATATTTCAAATACCTTAGGAACTTTCGGAGGTATTTGCCTTGAAAAGGGTATGAAATGAAAAACTATTTAAGAGGATTCAGAACAATGCTTCCACTCAGCCTCTTTTACCCTCTTTGTACTCAAAAATATATTCTTAAACCAGATATTACAGACTGCTAGAGCCTTGAATGAATGAATATTTTACATTCATTTAGTAAGATAAAATCTTGAAATTTGTAATGCCTTCTCAACACTTCAAAGATATTTTTTTGAGTTTTTACCACGAATTGAAAACCTTTTTTTCTCAGTGAGCGTTGTCAGAAGCATTCAGAGATCTTTGGGTGCTGACGGCAGGTAGTCGGGGGAGGTAATAGAGCCGGGGACGGGTAGTGGGCCGAGGAATGGGGTGACGACACTGGCGATGTCTGTGCGTGCGTGGCCCGAATCCTTTTGTGCGGGCTGTTGGAAACGACCTTCATAAAACAAACACGCCGATAATGAGTGAACAGTCGTAGGTTTCCCGCAAAAGGAGAGGGTTGCCAAGCCAGGAGCAGGAGTGGCTGGGAGGGAACCACATTTGGTGCCAGGCCACGAATTGGAGCTACCATTCCGACTGTGACTACGGCTCTCAATTCAACGGATTCCCCGGTTTCCTTTGTGAGTGCAACTAACTGGGCGATAATCGGCATTTGATTTGGTGCCGGCAAAAACTTTTCTCAAGAGTCTACCTCTTCCCCACTCTCGCACATTTTCCGCATTTCCCCCTTGCGACAGCTGATTGTGAAGTCAACTCCAGTTCGGCTTTGGCCTGAGTTATGTGATAAAGGCTTTGTCGAGGCTCTCGGCAAATCGATTTCGGTCTGGCGAAATTTTAAAGGTTGAGACTTTGGGAAGAAGAAGGAGCTCTTTGGTGGTGAACGGTAATGATGTGTGCCACCGTAAACGGGTTACGGATAATTGTTGCGGTTTTCGTTTTCAGTTTTGTTGCCGGAAAATTGGTAGAACGCAGCGAACGGAAAAGTTTATAAATGAAGGCTTAACTTATTATCCCTTTTTAAATGGTGTTTTGAAGGCGAAGTTAGTTATTTATTAAATCGTAAGTAAGGATCAGAAAGACATAGGTGAAAGGCCTTTCATTAACTTTTTGTCTTTGTAAAAGTAAATTCTTTAACTCTTTAAGGTCATATCTGCTTTTTCCTGAAATTTAATAGCATTTCTCAACGTAAAATAAGATTTAAAGTACTTCAAAGGTATCTCATTACGTCTAACCCTCCTACGCTCTTGCTCAGCTTTAATCTAATAATTTTTTGCCATTTCTGAGTTTCCCTTTAGACTTTACCTTTTGTTGAACTCTTTTCTCTTTGCCGGAGCAACATTAAGCCAGTTAAGGAGCGGAAGTCATGTTAGCTCCGGCCTGCCATGCCTGCCACGCCCGTCAGCCAGAAACGCCCCCGCTTACTACCCACCTGCTAAAATTTGCATAAAAGATGCTTTTCACTTTTCCAGCCAAAGAAATGAAAACTCAGGCTGCAAATATCTCAGGACGGCTGCCTCCGCTCTTTGCTGGCCCGAGTTGCCTGGCAGCCAAGGGAAATAAAATATTTTTTGGCAAAGGAAAATGGCAGGAGCGAATAGAAACTAAACGGCAAGAAGCGCAGAAGGGAGATACGCGGATAAAAAAAGGGAGAAAGGAGGAGGAGGAAAATAGCAACACATGGAATTTTCCGTTTTTGTAGGGTTTCATTTTTGTTTTTCTGTTGTCGTGTGGAATTAACTTAGCGGAAACGGAAATGGGAAATGGGAAATGGAAAATGGAAATGAAAGCTGCTGCACAGAGGCATATGGCCAGTGTCAAGGCCCAAGGATGATCGCCGACAGCTGTTGGCCTTCGTCCTTCATCTCCTCCGGCTGCTTTGATATGAATTTTCCATGCATTTCCCCGGCTAATCATGCACTGTTAGCAGAACGCTCTCCTGCCGTTCGGACTCTTCTCTGTTTCTGTGGGAATGTGGTCTCAAAATTTGCCAGTAATTGCAGCAGTAAATCAAGAGAGCTGGCCAAGAATATTATTGGGGTTTTTTATATTTAAAAATATTTCCCTCTCATTGAATATCTCACTTAAACAGCTCAGCATCAGCCATGTCAAGGTGGCTATTACCATCATCAGATTGTTATGGGCCTGCTCCTCCTTGGACACTAAACGAGAATCACTTATCATCTATACCGCTGCAGTTTCTAGAGTGAATGCCCGTACCTCCTGGAGCTGTAAAGTTCTCACGGTCGGTCATTGTCTATAAAAACTTTACTGTTCCGTTGAATAGTTCGTCTGGCACTGGCTCCCATTCACTTTACTTTACTGTACCCAGCTCGAGTGGCTACTCTCAACAGCTGTTTTGCTATCCAAAGGGGTTTTATCACTAAGTGAATTGCTCATAGAACTTGCATTCAAAAAGCAGCTTGGCCATTTGGTAATGGACTGGACTTTACTTCTTTTATGGGATAGATATGGGGAATATTAAAATTTAAATGAAGAAAGCGTTTGCTGATAAGATTATTGACTTGGAATTAACTGGCAGTTGGAAAAATGATAAGAAGGCTTGTTGGGATTACAACTTTTTGATAGGAAATCTGATAGATATAGAAGTTTACATTCAGAATTTGTTTGTTTACTCTTTTATCAAGCCAATGTAGGAATCTTTAGTGTTAAGTTAAATTTTGTTAAGATACTAAATGTAGAAATTCAAAAAGGTTCTCTTTACTTTTTCACTCGGCCTACCTTGGGGTAATATAGATATCTCTAGAGCTATAACACAATGGAATCTTTATACGAGTATATCCTAAGAATTAATTTGAATTAATTTCTGAAAGAGTAATAGGTATCTGATAGTCGATAGACTCCACCATGCAGCTCCCGTCTTTCTTTTACCTCTTAACTCCTGTCTTAAATTTCACTTTCAATTTCATGAATCGATAGAATTTCATTGAGACATCTATTTATAGAAGCACTCACCTCATTCCCCCCCAAACTCCTAATTCCCATTCACCTGTCTTTCACCTGCCCCGCTGACACCCGCCCCTGTCTTTGGCAATTGTAACTGTTATTGAAGGCGTTGCTGTTTATCATTTGCCGCATTGCATGACTTTAGCTAGTATATCAATATCAGGGAAGCACCATTTCCCGATGCCCAAGACCCCTTCCTTTCCCTAATCCCTTAGCTGCCATTGACACGCCGGAATAAAGGAAACCGGCAGAGGCACTAATAAAAACCAAACTTGCATTTATGGCCAAAACAAACAAATATTATTGACAAAATTATTGCCGGCGCCCAAAGCAAAATACAAAGGATATAAAACGTTCGTTTTGTTGCACATTTCGTGACTTTTTTTAGGGTTAAAAGGGGAAAGGCTATGGGCAAATCAAGTGCAATCCTTGCCTTGAGCCCACGCAATCGATTTCCCCCAAAAAAACAGAGAGATGTATGCCACGACGGCGTATGAAATCCGCATTTTGGTGCAGTCCTCTGGATGTTTTTTTAGGTCTTCCGTTGACATGACAGCAATATCCGGCGGATACGATTTTTGGCTTCCTGTTGCGGCGAACTTAAACCTATTTATTCTAAAGGTAAAAATAGAAAACAGACTTATAAATCATAATTTAATATGTAGAAATATTTAGGAATTTCATTTTTAAGTCTCCAGTCAGTCATCTTATAAGATTGATTACGATATTCGGAATGTTATTCTTAGCCAACACGGTTTTTAATTACTTTTAAATCAAATTTGAACAGTGAGGAAACTCCCTCTCTTGAGAAACATCTAGAAAATAAGGCCAAATTAAAACAAGTGGCAGAAAACGACAGCCATTGAAAATGCTTACTCTATTACACATTAGATCAAATTTGTGTCACTCCTTTCAATGTCTGCAAGTCAGGAATCTCAAGAGCACGATGTCAAAGCATCATTCACTTGTTATTAGCAATTTCGTAATTGTAATTCAGGAATCTGCTCCCCTAGGAGCTTCCCACTGCTCTTCAGCTTGGCCAACAAGCTCTCAGGGCAAAATAAAGCGAAGCATTTCACGATGCAAAAGTCAAGTCAAAGGAGAAGGAGCAGAAGTGGGTTGCCATACTGCCATGTACTCGCATAAAGAAAGCCACATAAATGCTTCCTTTCTTCCAGTGCCTTCACATTTCCCGCTCCTTCAGCATTTTTCTTTCATTTTCAATGAATGATGAATGCTTGATATATCTCTCACTCTCCCGCCTCCGTTTCCACACATTTTCTTTGAGTGTGTGTGTGTGGGTGGGGTGGGGACGTAATGAAATTAAATATTTAAGCCCGCAATGCCTGAATGGGCAGGGGGAAATGAGTGGAAATGCGGAAAAGTACTGCAAAAAGGACACAAAGCTCGCCCATAACTTTGTGCCTTATGTTTCGAAACATTCTGAGGTTTTGGCCCCCTTTGAATTGCGTGGCTGGGGATTAGGATTTGGATTAGGGATGCGGACCACTTCAGACACTGCGAATGCAACTGCAACATTTGCAGCTGCCACTGCCGGATTAAGCCAACTACTGCGGCATTACAAAACGCTGCCAACGTCATCATAATCAACTTTTCCCTAGACTCATGGTTTTTTGTTTTTTGCTTTAAACCCTTTGGAACGTGCTGACACCTCGCAGAAGTTGCCAACTTTCCACTGTCGATTATTTGCTGTCAAATCAGAATTTATTTTGGCAATGCATTCGATTTGGCCGTTTCTAGCAGACCATTTCAAGGTGTTTGGCTGTAAAGTGGCGCCAACACGTCCAGGAATACAGTCGAAACGGGAAAGAAGTTTGTTCTACGGGAAGTTGAAAGTGTTTTATTGGAGGTAGCTAAGTTTTTCAAAATAAGTTTAGTGAAATAAGTGCAAAACTCCAAGAGAACTTAGGAATACTGCAGTACACTATATTTTATTTAGGTTTTTGACTGTGATTTTAAGGCTAAAACACTTTGTCACGCAGTAAGAATGAGATATAAAACACTTCATGATAGAGTGGCTAAGAAGACCTTAAAGACTAACTTACATTCCATGCAGAAACAAGAAAATCTTTAGAAGAGACTGTAAATTCTAAGTCATGCAAGGTCTTACTTCACCTTAAAGTCAAACTATGAAAGAAGCATTTCCCAAACCTACACAAACCAATCCACAAAAACAAGCACAAGGAAACACAGCCATAATATTTTAATCCATTGAACCTTAAATTCTGTGAAAGTCGGCGAGAAATTACGAAATGCCCCAAACTACATAAATAGCAGACGCATTCGAGCGGCAATGCAACAATTTTTAATTACCATTTAGGCGCTTCAACGAGCATTACAGAGAGGCGAAAAAATAAAGATAGATAGAGGAAATTGCCGGCAGCACTTTGGTCTCGACTTTTCCACCATTTTTTCCATTTGCCAGGCGTTTAACAAAAAATTAAAAGCAAAAAAGAAGCAAAAGATAAATACGGGGAAAAGCGAGGAAGAAGAAAAACAAACGCCTGGGAAATTAAGTCAATGTCCTGCGGGGTCAGTTGCGTTCTGGATGAATGTAATTAACCTTCAGGATAGCGGGCATTGAGTTGGGTCTTTCAGCCAAACGATGGGGGACAGCTGGAGCAAAAGGACAGCAGATGCGAAAAGCCAGATTATTTGGTGTAAATGATGGGTTAACATATTAGAGCCATATTCCAGAAATCGCTTGGCATGCAAAACGATGTGCTGGGAGATGAGAGGCTGAGGTGTACTCGCTAGTCGGAGACATTCATCACTTTAAATAGACCACCAACCACATCATTAGGGCAGTCGCCTTGCAAATTAATTACAATCGAAGCGAAAGGTGGAAAACTCGGGGTGGATGGGTGGTTCAGTGCTACACACATACACCCTCCAAGTATCGGTGGAGAGCAAACTGAGAGCCAAGAAAACCCCGAAATCCACAGGCGAAGTTCCCTGCCATTTCGGCCAACAATGGAGCCTTGCTGTAATTACCTTCTCGCACACAAACACACAGTGGAACACGGATAAAGACGGTCACACACACATAATTAACTCGATAATGAGGACAAAACCCGTAGCCACACGTACAATCAAAGCCAGAAAACCCAATCCCACCCAAGTTGTCGCAAATGTATGTAATGGCATGTCACAGTTGTTGTTCCTGCGGTTGGCCAGGGGGCAACAGGAGGGCTAAGAAACGGGGATATTGGCGAGAAGGGGGGTTAACCCCCTATCCCCTTTGCCCGCTATTTGGTTTTGTTTGCCACGATAATGACTTCCGCTTCGACAGAGCCGAGGATGACAGAACCGGAATTTGTAATTGCTCCTAAGCGTTTGCCATTCTCGATCTCAATTTCCAGCGTTTGCCTTTGATTTTGCTGCCCCAAAGGAAAAACTCTCCCCCTGTTGTTAGCACCCAGCCCCCTGCTTATTCACCATTTAGCCCCACACATCCAGGAATGTGCCAGTGTGTTTTCGGTTTGGAAATTTATACGCATTTGACCCGAATGTCGTTGTGCACGAGGAAAAGCCTCCGGAAAGCGCAAAAAAACAGGTGTGAAAAACTATGCAGGAAAATTGCTGCACCGAAGATTGGTTAGATGGGGATGGGGACACTACAAAGTGTTTGCTATGCTAATTCCTGCAAGGGCGGTATTATATTTAGTAGTTGCAGCAATTGTCGGAACCACTTGAAATTGCAAATTAGAAATGGGTTTGCTAAATATTTGTTAAGTTGTAATGCAAATTGAATTCGTTAAAAGGACAAGAAAAACAGAGCTAAAGAAGGAATTTGAATTTCAGATAAAACTTAACTTTGATTATCGTGTATTTTTAAGAAGGTATGCTAAATATAAGAAAAGTCCTTAAAAATGCTGCCTTGGCCTTAAAATGGCAAGTAAAACTTAACCATTTAATCTCTCTTAATTTATTTCCATTGAAAACCCAAAATAATAAGCAAAATCCCTTAGGTTGGACGGGAATATTTCATGATTAGAGGCAATTGAATTACACATTTGCATAGTCGAGTTAATTCCTCTGGAGATGGCCAAGATACTGAATGGCAAAACCCCTGGCATTTATCGCAGTTTACATTCCAATTGCCATTTCCCATTTGCCAGTGGTGGCCAAAAAGGGAAAGGCAGCGCTTTCCCCCCCATTTGATTGCGGTAAAATGCTAATTAACGGAGCAATGCTCCAGTTTGGTGAAAACTTTAACCCGCTGACAAATGACTAGCAGTCTGGGTTGCGGCAAGGAGTTAAGGCTCGAAACGAGTTAAGCCAACATTTCTTTAAAGTTTTTAACAGACTCTTTAACGTGGCCTAAATATTAATGGGCGCATTACGTATACGCCGCGAGTGGCCGCGATCTGAGCTGACCTGCCCAGGGAATTGTCGGTCTTAAATTCATATCAAAATATATATATTAAATATTCTCTTGCACTGGATTTGGTTCTGCTTTGCTTTAATATTTATAGCAAAGTCCCTCGAGGACCAAATGGCTTTTGTGCGCTCTCTCCTTCTCTATTTGTGAAATTTAAGCACGAAAAAGGTTCGCATATTAAATGCCATGGTCTGAGCATCGAGTTATCTGTCCGTCTGCCTTTCGAGGGGGGCGCCCGGCTATATGGCTCTAAACTTGTTGGTTCCACTGGGGGATTCGGGTTTTGTTTGGTAATTTGTGGAGTGCCGTTCTGCGGGGGAGAAACAAAACTGAACTGGGGAGCGATTTCAATTGGCTGCGGATGGATTTAATAAAAGGTTACGTGGGGGCAGATAAGGTGGCTTACCCTTCTCGATAAAGTTACCACTGTGCTAATGCAGAAAGCTTAGCTTGAACTTCATTGGATTTGGTTTAAATGCTTTGAGCTCTTACGCCATCGCTTATCGTTCATTAGTCAGGCGAATTTTGTATTATTGCCTTAATAATCCTTAAAGAATATTATTTAACTTTGGCTTTTAATATATATAGTGGAGTTATTCGATGTGAAAACTGGGTTTGGGCTAACAAAACCAATTAATCAAGTCATATTTACAGATATGCCTAAAACTATGCTACGATGTTTTAATATTCTTTCAGTCCACGTTAATATTTTCAAAGCATAGTTTTAGGCACTTGCGAAACTCAAACCTCTTGAATTTTCTGTAGCTTTTCTCAATAGCACTTCCTTTTATAAATGTTCAATAACTTTTTATGAATGTCAAGAAAAACATTTTTCGTTTACGTCAAACCCTCGAAAAAATGTTATATGTATTACGTTAAACTATGCTATTCCACCTCCCAATGTTTATTTGATAGTTCGTTCAAATTGCCATTGCCAAAGTCCTTCGGTGCAAATTAATTACATCCTTTTTCCAGGTCTCTATCCCTCTACCCCTCTCTCTCTCTCTCTCTCTCTTTCCCTCTGTCGGTGTGAATGTACGTGAGTGTGTGTGTCAGCACTCGATAAAGGCATTGATCACAGCACAGCTATATATATAGCTCATCCGCCCCGTATGTCCACCCCTTTTGCATTTGGCTCGATTGCAATTACAGCGCGTGGTAGAGAGGGGAATATAAAGGGAAAAGGGGGCTTGCATATTTCATAGTAGCTACGCATAAGTGACACTTGTCAAAACACATTTTCCACACCTCCCACCTCCCGCTTTTCCTTTTGGCCAGAGGCAAAAAAGCATATTTCAAGTGCGGCACTTCATGTGCGTCAAACAGAATGTCGGAGGGAGATGGCATGTGCATGTGCAAGGGAGAGAGAGCAGCACACACTAACACACTTACACACACACACACATCAAAAGCGAACCGAACAGTGAACACCGAACAGTGAACAGAACTGAAAAAGTGCTCAAGTCGAAAGCCCTCGAGTTGTTTTGCAACATTTGAACACGTCAAGTTTTTTAAGGTCAACATGTCGCTGGCAGGCAGGCCAGACATTAGACATCAGACATGGCTAACACCCCGCGGGGGCTTGCAAAGGGGTTTCTGGAGAAGGGGGCGTGTAAAGGGTTGACTAAAGGTGGCTAGCGGAAAATATTGGTTGGTCCAATGTGCGAAACGCCGTTTGCATTCGCAACGATTGTCAAAGGACTGGACTTGGTGGACCATTACTGACATCGCACAGTCCCCTGGTCCGAAGTCCTTTACAAAGCTTCAAATTAGATTATTCCCAACACTTTAACTTTTATTAAATATCCCAATCTATAAATTCCATGGAAATAAAAGGAGAATAAGTAATGCCTAAATGCTAAATACTTCTTCCATGATATGTTTCACTTTTCGGCAACAGAAATATAACCCTAAAATATTTTCGGTTCTTGGCCAAATAAAAGACAGTCCAAATCCCACGTAAGAACTGTTTCCTTCATTGATATCCCTAAAGTCCGCCCACTCTTTGAACAGCACTAGCTTTCGCCTCAAGAAAATCTTAAGAAAACCCCGCCATTTCCTCTTGGAAACCCCTCGCCTAAACAACGTTTATTGTTACTTAGCTTTGGGGGCAGATCCAAGGCTGGTCCTTAGCTCTTCGGATGCCTTGTTTACTCTTTGGATGTTCACGGCTTTATATGCGAAGACGTACGTGAAAACACATACGGGTGTGTGTTGTGTGCGTCTCGGTCTTGTTGGAAAACACTTTTTCACAAAATTTTCTCAAAAAGAATGTTAGACAAACCGCTTTGTTGGCAACAATTTGGGTTAAAACTTAAGTGTTTTGCTTCGAGTTGAAACCAAGCCACTGCCCCTACCCTCTTACCTCTTGCCAGCCGCAGTCCCCTTAAATTCTTTGGCATTGCAGTGCTTTTGGCCTGGCTTAAAACGAAACCCACAAGAAAAGGCGAGCAAGAAGGGCAACTAAGAAAAACCAACAAAGTTGAGGGAAAACGTGGAAATGTTTTTGTGCTTTTCCCTTTCATGCATTCCAAGCCAAGAAGCAGCACAGAAGCAAAGCACAAAATAAGGGAATGAGATTGCCACAAGGAGGAGGTAAATTGTCCTTTTAACTTCTTTCCCAGCTGCTGCTGTTCCATATAAATTTCGTTAAAATTCAGCGCTGCACTTTCGCTTTTCCCCTTAAAAAAACCGCTTAAACAGACAATGAGCAGAAAGTATCTCGGGGAGATGCTCCCGCGGAGGCTTCCTCATTAGACCAACTCAAAATAATTAACAGTCATTACCCAAATGGAAACTGCAAGAGATGCACTGGTGACTACATAACTTAACCAAGGGACCATTTACAAAAGTTAAAAATAAAGATTAAATTTCAATTCAGTATGTGTAATGAGCAATATTTGAATTTATTGATTTAATATTTTGTAAAACTGATCAATTCCCATTACGTAGACCAAATATAAATGAAATTTTTATTGATAGAGCTTAACCCTAGACCGCCTTACCAAACCCCAGGCAATGTGCGTTGCATTGGGCTAATTTGATTGAAAGTTTTCGGATCAAGTTTGTGAGGGTAGTCTTACATATGCCGCAAATTTGAGGCCACATCAAAGGAAAAGTTGATGCAAATATATGTGCGAGTATATGCCCCGAACTGAAACCGAAAAACCCCAAACCAGACCAGAGCCAAACTCCCAGGCCCAACCAATCCATTCAAATGTAAGCAAAGTGGAAAAGAGAGAGACTGCCGCCGGAGTCGCAGATGAATTTGTTTGTTCACATTTTGGGGCTGCATTATTGGATATCTCAGCTCGAACTTAACTAATTTTAAAGTTTTCCAAATGAGAGATCTCTCTCTATCTCTGTGTGTGTGGCAAGTTGTGTAAAAGTTTCCACAGCTCGTGGAATTAGTTGCAATTTTCAGCATCTGGGGGAAAATTTTACATTTTCCTGGGTAGAAGAAATCGGGCTGCTTGGCGGAGGGCAAAGGAAATTGTCTACAGCTGGTTGTGGTTGGCTTCATCATCGTTCCTCATCATCGTGTTTGTCGTCATCCACGTTGACACTTTAAAGTTTAACAAGAATTTAGCCAGCAAGTTCACGGCTCGGTAAACAATTTGCAAGCAATTTTTAATGAAATTTACCGTTGTTGTTATTTATTTACAATTTTATTTCAATAATTCATTCAATTCCTTTTGACATGACTAAACCTTAAACGTATGGGAAAAACTAAAACTAAGTACTTAGATGACTGAATTTATTACTCACCATAACGCTTTTATGTCTTTTTCTGGTAATAAAACTAGTAAATGAAATGAAGAAAAGTTCTTCGAAGCTTTAAAAGGTTAAACCATAATAAACTTAACATATATAACTCCTATTTAATCACTGGAAACCCTAACAAAAACTCAAAAAGAGCAATATAACTTCTTTTAACCAAAAAAACTGATACCTGATAACTCACTTGATACCTTTACTTTTTGCTTTATTGCAGTGAAAAGTTTAGCACTGTTTTTTTCTCACTTTTCTTGCGGAAACTTCTCTTCGACCTGTTACACATGATCCCCGGAATATTGCCAGTTAACCAAGTTAACAAATCCACCCCAAAGGTTCAGTTTCTTTTGTTCGCCACCGACTCGCTTGCCTCATGTTGTTGATTACACTTTGGACGGTCATAAATTTGTATCAGCGAGCAGTGGAAACTCATACAGCAAGTTGGGAAGCGCCATGGAAAAAGAAAAGTCCGCCGTGGGAGAGGGGAAAAGTTTTTATTTTACCTCGGCGAGTTCAAGTGAAACTTGAGAGCAGTGTGGGGCTGTGAAAAAGAAAAACTAGAATCGTGGTTGAATTTTCATTAACTGCTTGTTTATCGAATTGCAATTTGAACCGTTCGAGGGTCCCCCAAAACGCAAATGAAAAGATACAGAGAGGTACAAAATAAATGCAGATACTTTAGCTTTAGTGGATGATAGGACATTCAGATCTATGGATCGTCCTCATCTATACCATCAGTCTCGTTTCTTTTCATTATGTTCCCAATGGGTTCCTGAGTGTTGAAATGGTCAATGAGGCCCCTTAAGTCGTTCACCAAGTGGAAAGCTTCCTCCAATAAATTATCTGATGTCGGGAGGTATCTCAGGAATTCTTCTTCCGTTTTTATTTCCCGGAAACTGCGCGAAAAGTTCTCAAAGAAATCTACTAACGTTTCGTGTAGATCAATCACTTCTTTGACTTCCACAGGGCCCAATAAGCTTTGGACATATTCCGGATTATTGAGGTCTGGTTCGAGTAATGAGTTGTCCGGAACATATGAACTGGTTTCCGCAGAGGATATAGAATTCTGATTATTTTGTGCCTCCTCATCTGGCTCATCCCCGGCTAACATTTCTGGCTCGGATTCATTGTTGAGATCGATTGACTTGTCTTCAAACCCGCCTGCAGCCTGTCCAACATCACCCTCCTTGGCAACTAGCTCCTTAACCCTATCTGCATACCGCAGAGTGTTGAGGGTGTTCTCCACACAGCTCATGGTTGGCGATATCATGGCAATCATGCAGGTCTTGTTTTTCTTACTACCAACGAAAGAGTCCCTCAGCACTTGGGTTAGCTTGGAGCCACGGAAGGGAAGGTGACTTGACTGGAAGCTCAGCGCTCGAATGCACTCCTTGAGGGCCAGTAGGGATTTGTTGATCTCGGCTCCCTCGATGCGAGTTTGGCGATCGGCGGACTGAGTATCTGCTCCACGTTCATTACCCGCCAAATCCACAAAGGAGCACTTGCCATAGGGACCGAAGGTGTCGGGCATGTGGAGTGCTATTTGGAAGACAGCATGTGAACGCGATGACTTGGCGTTTGCTGAAGTCTGCCCAGAAATGCGCTCCTTGCTACCCTGCTCAATCAGTCTGAGAACGTCCTCCACTTTGGTCACCGGCATCTCTGTCAAACCGACCACCACAACCTGCTGTCTGCCATCCTCCAGGACACGTAGGAGTGCTTTTTTCGGAACAAGGAGATCGTATACCTTGGTGCCGTATATCTCAAAGAAGCTGCACTTGATCTCGACCCCCAATTCCTTGTAATCCGGATGCGAAATCTCGTTGAAGACATCCCGCGCTGCCATGGCATAGATGCCAGTTCCGCAATCTTGAATCTTCCCGAAGAACTCTCCGCCCATAGTGTGGGTCTTACCGCTGCCAGTTTGTCCGTAAGCAAAGCAAGTGGCATTACCGCCCTCGAACATGGTCCTGATCAGCGGACGAGCTGTATGGTCATAGACCAGAGTATTTGAGCACTTCTCATCGAAGGTGTAATCGAAACGGAAGGTGTGGTGTTCCAAGTACTTGGTGAGGTCCACCTTGAATCGCTGCTCATGGACTATCAAGGTATCGGGAGTGGGAACTGTGATGATGTCCATGTTCTTCTGGCTCTCTTCCTTCCGACTCAAGGGTCGTTTTCGCACACAAACTGTTATTTGCTGAACATCACCTAAGTTTGGATCCAAAGATCGCAGAGGAGCAAGTTTCAAAGTTTTTTGATACTGACGCAGCATCATCGCCACCTCCCAGTTGGGATTATTGGGGTCCTTGCGACGACATGCATCCTTTTCCTGCTGCTGCACCACTTGGCGAGCCCTTCTCTTCTCCCTTTCCTCCTTCATGCGATTCACCTCTTTCACGACATTGGAGCAGCTTTGATTCGTGCTGGCGATTAGGGACTTGCGAGCTTGGAGGAGACTAGATTTGCATGACAGTCTAGATGTACTTGATCCAGCCTGTTCACGATTTCCCGCCGTAGGAATGTCAGTCTTCCCCACAGCGGCTTGACTGATGGCTTTCATGCGCTCTATAAATGGATTTCCGGCACCGGATCTGCGGTTGGCAATTAATGATCCATCGGAGGGACTCGGAATCATCGAGGCCTTTGTAATCGGTTGATCCTCTGCAAATAAATGATGATTAATCCCCATTAGAACACTAAGGGGCACCTCTTTGCCCTTGACCACTGCGCCCTCGTGCCATTCGCAAGTTACGGATTCCTGTTCCGGATGCTTGGCTACGCAAGTCGCCGGATGGATACGTCCGTCACTTCTCTGGAAAAACAACTGCTCTCCAATCTTGAGTCGATCCATATTTCGGTGGCTTCGGCTGAGGCCTGCACTTCGAAGAATGTGTGTATAAAGTTTATAAAAATATTCCGGTTTAGGACTTCTTCTTGAGAAAACTTAACGAAATTTCCTGGCCACAAACGATTGATTATACAAAATTTCTCCGGCCGATGTAGCCTCCGTACTTTAATGTCGAGTGTGATGTTTGATAATCTAATAAATTCTGACTCTTATGCTTAACACACAGCCTCCTTGTTAGGATTTTCGGGTTTTATAAAAATAAAAGGGTAAGCCGAACCTTGAAGTACTTCGGGAAAGCTACTTTTCCGAGAACGGGTTGACAATCGGGGCAACAGAAAGTTAAAGGTCTTCCTTAAAGTAAATCTAGGTGGGTCTGCAGGCACTTCCCTTTCCATTCAGAGAACAATTTTATGGTTAACATGTTTGGGGTGTTGGCTCGTAAATTCCTTGCCTTGCCTGGTTTTGGGTTAGCAGCTTCTTTTGATATATGGCCCTTGCTCCGTTACGGGTTAGTACTTTTCAAATTAGATTTGCCCACCCTTCCCTATATATATATATATATATGTGTGTCATAAACCGAAAAGAGGACCTTTCTGTATTTACACAAGCGTGCACATTCCACAAATAAATAGCTCGGCTGAGGCAGCTCTCGTTTTGTTGTCTAGACTCGTGATTGGAGGACAATTAAAATACGAGCACTCAAGGGGAAACCCTTCGAGGGATCAAACAACATGCTGTTCCCCACTCAGTCAGGTGTAAAAACTAATTTACGGCAATGCCACTTGAATGGCCGCCCCAAAAACCGCAAACGAAACCTCAAGGTGAACAATTTTTTGGGACATGAGATGGGGGAAAGTATACTATCTGGTCTAGTTTCGTATCAGTTACTGGGTCAGCATGGGGTATATGGACCATAAATCTCATGGCTGCTGCAATCAGGCCCTGCAATAGCAATCTGCATCAGAAATCAGCGAACAGTGCCAACTTGTCAGGGCCATATAGATAGAGACCAAACTGGAAATGGCGTCAAGGGCGCCATAAATGAGAATTTCCGTTTCATTTCCGTCCGTTTGTTTGCGTTTGCCGGTGTGTGTGAGTGTACCGATGTGCTTGTGTGTGCTTGTGCGGTTCATTTGTGGCCCATAATGAGCAGGGAAAACGCCGTGGCTCTGTATCGATTTTCATTTAAAGTGCCAGCCGGACCACCTAATGGCATTTGGTGTCCCGAATTTATGGCAACTTGACCTCGGCCATTTGTCAGCATTAGAACACAATTGGATAACATGGCCTGGTTGGATGCAGTCAAGGACATCATAAATGCGAATATCCGCTGAAGTAAACCTAAACCCACACGGCAACCATACAATTCAATTAAATACAGCCTTAGAAAATTCCAAGCAGTCTTCGGGGAATATTTATGGGAACTCCGAGGTGGAGCCACAGAGACACATAAATTTGTTTGCTCCGGACGCGATAAGCGGCCAACATGTTGATACACAGGCGAAATAAAATATGTCGCCTGAATGGAGACCAGGATGCGAACCCCAAAGATTTATGCGGAAATAATCGCTGGCGGCCATAAATTATAGCCAGCAGCTAGAAGAAAATCTCCGATTCATCGATTTTCCATCGAGATGTCAGTCACAAACAATACTTTGTTTTATATCTACAATATGTTATAGAACACACACACACTCGGATCAGCCAACACTAACACACACACACGTTTAAATTGGGAACACAGGAAATAGCGCGGTAGATTCAGGAAAATGTTCATAGGCAATTTCCATATGATGCAGCACACTCGAAGGGGCACAGCTCCTGAGGGAGATGATCAACGGTAAGCTTGATTGTTCAGTTGGTAAATGCTATATGGGGTATATAACTCAAAGCCTACCCAGAAGTCTGAGATCCGGTTCATATAAAGGATCAATGAGGTGTTACGACTGCAGGATGCATTTCATGTCCCGGTGAGCACAAATTTTCTATACTAGCACGAACCCTTCTTCGATTGCTTAGTTCTGTTTTTTCTTTATAAATTTGAATATTATTATACCTTAATATCTTTCTAAACTCTGAATACATTCTGCTTTAACTTTCAGCACCAACATGCTCATCTTGGACTACAAACAGTACAAGGCAGCTCGACGTATTCAAAAAATATGGCGTCGATTCTACACCCGGAAAAACTTTGAGGACAGAAGGAAGGCGGCCATAACCATTCAGCGCTGGTGGCGCGGCTTCTCGGTTAGAAACAAGTACTATAGCTTTGTGGAAAATACTTTGCAGAAGCGGGTTGTGGAACACTACCACAAGTCAGCCACCAAGATCCAGGCCCTGTTCCGAGGATGGTGGAGCCGGCGCACGATTCACGACCACAGCAAGTTGCTCAGGATGCAGGTGTGCGCCGCCGAGGATCTTCTCAACTGTGTCGCCTTCAAGTTGCATCACCTACTTCGAACCTACTCGATTCCAGGAGTCTATTCGCTAAAGAACTCCAAGTGAGTTTGGTTTAGTTCCATAGATACACCTTGCTTAAAGAATTTTCCACATAAATATCGAATTTCACCCACAGCTGCTTATCGCGAATAGAGAAACTCTTGGCCAGCTTGCACTTTCGATTTCACAATGGTAAGGAGAAACAGCAAATCGCGAAAAATATCGCCGACAGAAATGGGGAACGTAAAAATTTTCAAAAAAGTGATAAGTACAGTAAAGTTCCCTTTGAGGGGGCACGCTATTGGAGCCAATGCAGGCCAAAGTGCGACTTGGCCTTGAAAATGTCCAAGGACATTGACAAACGCATGTACAGGATCATTGACATGTACGATGCTTCTCAGAGGGAGGCCCATAAGGCATTGGTAGAGAAGAATTTAAAGCATAGTAAGCTGAAAATATATATATTTATACTTATTATTTCGAATTAAAAACTTTAATTTTAATTTCCAGAAAAACAAAATAAGCTTTTGCGTAATATACAGAAGTCAGCAGAGCATAATAAACGAGACTTTTGCGGCGATGTGATTGCCAGTATGCGTCGTTGGAAAATTCTGGTGGATAACAATCTCCATGTAGACAAAAACATCTTTAGGAACCCGGAAAATCTGGAAAGATTCTTATCGGAAATATCACAGCTTGTGACGGAGTTTGAAAGCTGTACCTGCTATTGCCGTATTCCCGTGCTAACAGAAATCTATTGCGGCTAAGAACGTGAACGTGATTCGTAGTGAACAAAGTAACTGAAATAAAAAACTGTACTAATTTTAAACTAACATTTATTTTCTGCTATGGTGATGGCTATGGGTTCTGCAACATTGAGCTTCGATGTGTCATATAGACCGCGGGCTATCGATAGTTTTGGTTTCCTCCTCAGCTGAATATCGCACTGAACATATCGACTGCAAAGAAGAGGGAATTAGTTGGACATAAACATAGCTTAAGATGAAGACCTGTTTTCTCACCAAAAATATTGCCGAAAAAACGCATGAGAGTGGTGAAGAACGAAGGCCTGTGGATGTCGTCCAAGTTATCCGTCATCTGATCTGTTTTTTCACATTTTCCATTTATTTATTAATATATTGCTTGTTAGTAACATTCAGAGGCTATTTCTTACCCAAATTCTCGCAGTCCAAATGTTGGTTAAATGCACCTGGGCCTGGTGGAAAAATGACAGCAGGTGGATCCGGTTCCATGGCAAATATGAAATGACGGTCAAATTAAAATACTTTCGCAGTCGAATATTAGGACAAGAAATTTGGAAATAATTTGTTGTTTCTTTAATCTACACTTTAAAATGTGGTTTGTACAGCTTAGAATTTGGAAGTGCAGTCTGGCATGAAGGAAACTCAAAAGCATATGCCAGGCCTACTTGGTTTAGGGGAACTTTGAGATGAAATGGAGTATCATGAATTTAGATCAATGACTAGGCATTAAGACTAAAGATAACTTATTAATCGGGTCATTAATCCACAATTTTGAAATCTCCAGCACTTTTTAGAAAACAAGGCCATATCAGGTGTGCTCACATTGAATGTCACAAAACATGCAATTTGGCCCTCCAACTTTTACCTTCTGACACAGCTGCGAATTACGAGCCAAGTGTACGATTTATGTGGAAAACTTTTCAAGGCGAAAACATTAGGCATCCGAAGAGAAAACATGCAAATACTGAATGGATTTTCTCAGAACCTGTCCCTGAGTGAGCATAAATTAAGAGGCCAGTTGCTGTTGCTTTTAATTAGACACTAAAACTCGGCCTTGCCTGACCAGAGGGCCAATGCCCAGTGTCCAATGGCCAATGGTCGGGGGCTCTCTTTCTGGCCAGGACATCAAAACAGAGCTCGGCACAGCGGGAGAGTTTGGTAATTGTACGGCTGGCCCATCATCATCGCCATCTCCATAATAATCACCATCCTCAGATATGCAATTAGAGGACAAACGAAAAATGTGTCTTGGTCAGGCGCTGTCATCGTTGCCCAGGGACAAATACATATTTCCCAGACTCCCTGGCCCACATATATATATATATATATATACTGAAATTAACCATATTCATCAAGCCCACAACTAAATGCAACATTTTTGGCCGCTAATGACGAGCCGTTGTCGTCGTCTTGAATGGCAACTTGTATTGCCCCAGGGCCAGGTTCTTTATCACTCGGTTAATTACTTATGGGTGATACCCACCCCTCCCGACCTTTTTTGTGGTCACTTGCCACAGCTGCTAGTCCTTGGCTGCTGTTTCTCTCGTCCTGGCTAACGAATTTCGTTTATTTTGCGGTTGATATGTCAGGTCTCTTGACATGTTCCAGTGGCATTATTATAATGAACCTCAGGCTAACCAACAGGTAAGAGTCTGCTTTTGCTTTGGTATTTAAGAAAGATTTTATTTATAAGATTGAAATTTAAGCCCAAATTCCTTATGATCCCTAACTTGTAATGAAATCAATGCAAAAAAAAACACAAAAAACAGCTTAAATATAGAAAAAAAAATTAAAAACAAAAATGAACTAATCTAAGCTTATTAAAACTTTCCGACAAAATGGTAAAAACATTTGCCCAAGCTAACGAAACTTTTCCATTTGTTGTTTTTCCTCTCTTGTTTGCCAGCTGTGGGGAAGCTTTTGGGAAAAATCTCAAGCCGCTTTTTCCAGCAACATTGGGAAAGCGGGCGAGCGAATGGGGTTAAGCCTTCGAAATGATGTAACCAAACCGAAATGGATTCCTAAAAATAAAAGTTGCATTGCCAACAATTTCACTTTCAGTGCAGTTTTAATGCATTGTGTGTGGCTCGTGGGCCGCAAAAATTTCGGGGTTTTTCCGCTTCTTAATTAAATGTGTTAAGAGCCCAAAGTTGGCCAACTTGCAGCTGGCCAAGATAGTTTTTTGACAGTTTCTCGATCACAATATGCCAGCCAGCCTTGCATAAAGTGTGCATATATTTTTTTTAAGGATTGAAAATGTTAAAATAATATCCTTTAATCAAGTTAGAGCCCATTTGGCTGGCTATTTAATGGCCTAGTTCCTAATGAGCTTACAAGGAAAACTCCCAGGCGTTTCCATATGCTGTCTGTGACCCTTTTCATGGGCTGGTTTCCAGTGGGTGGGGTGGGGCTACTGTAACCGCAACACAAGGCGTTTCAAATGTTTCCTTTCAAATTAATTAGAAGTTTGCGGTAAGCAAAGCAAAGCGAAGCCAAGTTGCCGGCTTGGCCTTTCGGCGATGGCAGTCGTTCATGGACATCATCATCATCCTCATTGATGGCAACCGACTAGGCCACAAAATGGTTTTTGGCCAACAATGAAATCTGAGTTCTAATTGCCGGCACACAAACATATAATTAACTAAATAATGAGATGAGTAGGAGGGCGATGGGCGGTTGCCTCTTGTATCTTAGCCATTTGGCTGCTGTTAACGGCATCCGTAATTACCTTTGATATGCTCAGCCACACTTCTCTAAGAGTTGGGGTTTTTCAATTAATGTTTGGCAAATGTCTTTCCAGGTACTACGCACACTTTCCCGCTTTGTTTCGCTTTGTAAAAGTTTTTTAATTTATTGGCCATAAATTCAACAGCATTTTGCCATCATTGGCACCTGCCCGAAACAGTTAAGCCAAATGAACAAATGCTCGAACAGGAAGTTCAACATATTCATTTTGTTTTTCCTTAGGTTTGAGTTGGCTGACATTTATCTTAATTGCCAGAAAAATAGTAGAAAATAGAACAAAAATGCTGAATGTTCGATTTTATTTACTAATGTTTTAGATTTATTTGAAAACTAATAAATTGAAATGGAAATAGTATGTGAAGTTTTTTAATTACGCTTAGGCTTATATTATATTATTTAACACAATGTTCAAATTTATTTCGATCTGATCGTCGTCACGTCGTTTTTGCTTCGCTTGGGCACGTCTTCACTTCGTCACAGCTTTTTGGATTCCCTTCTTCTTCTTCCTTCCTTCAGTTCTCGTTGCTTCTCTCGTCGTTTTCTACTTCTCCCGTTGCTTCCCTCGTCGTTTTCTACTTCTCTCGTTGCTTCCCTCGTCGTTTTCTACTTCTCTCGTTTTCTACTTCTCTCGTCTTCGGCTTAATCTTCTTCGTGGTTTCTACTTCTTTCGCCAGATGGCCACTCGTCGTTCTTGGTATTTCTCTAATATAAAAAAAAATATATGCAAAAATAAATCATGTAAAAATGTTGTAAGTAATAGGAAAATGTCTTGTATAATCTTTAACAATAATTTCTCAATTAAATAAATTATGAATCTATATTAAATATTTGATTTATTACAATTTTTACCAAGAAATAATCTAAAATAGAAATAGAAAAATAGTATTCCATTGATGCTTTAACAAATTATTTTATATTAATTTTAAAAATTGCAAGACATTAAATTAATTTACCGTAATTAAATTAAACTTAAACTTTCTTAAAAATAAAATAAAAACATCCCTTAAACTAATTTTATTAAAAGGGGTTAACCCTAGGGTTAGCCAAGTGATCTAAAAATCCTAGCAAAGCAAGGCCAAGACTGAGGTGAGGCTGAAGCGAAAAAGACAAAGAGCAACCGATTAACATTTATTGGGCCTGAACTTTAATTTGCCTTGTTGGCCATGTTGGCTTACCGTTCGCTGGCCTTTTGGCCATTTGACATTCGAACCGTGGCTGGATTTATGGGATTGCCTGTGTCGATTAGTTAGCCATAAATCTTTGGTGTTTGCTTATGGTCAGCAGTTCAGCTGATTGGCTCTGTGACCTCGAACTAAATGTTTCACGCATTGTTTTGGATTTGCCACTTTCCCCAGATATCTAAGACCTTCTTTCTCTCTGACAGCGAAACAAATTTACGAGTCATGGTTGGAATACGTTTTCCTACTTTCTCCATCATTGCAACATTAACAGGTTAACTCAGTTTAAATGAAATCTGCGCTGAGCGAAATATAAATATGTGAACAGCGGGAAAGAAAGGAGATGGAAACAGCGCAGGACTACTTACTAATTTGCAAAGTTTTTACGCTGAACTGAACTTTAACCCTGGCGCAGGTGCTAAAAATGATTTGCAAAATGCAAAACTTTCCGTTATAAATTCATAGCCATATATAACTAACCGAAGAGGTGAAAAGGAAAGCCAAACGATTCGCAAAGAAGTTAAAATTGCTTAAGTTTTATATACATTTCTCGTTGACTACCATAAAATATGCAAAAAGTTTAATCAAATTTTAGCAAATCGCCATGGTCGAAATTGTATTTTTTTAGGTTTTTTCAGAAGTTTTTGCGGCGGGTTAATACTTAAAGTTTACAACTAAAAGGTGAGGAAATAATTTAAGGATCTAAACAATAATTTATTTTTAAGATTTACGTTTGTAAATGATTAAACCTAATTTAAATAAATTTATACATATTTTAAAATCCCCCAAAAAGTATGCTACTAAAAACTGATTTTGCTTACAAAAGGCAATCCAAATTGACCGAAAAAGAAAACAACGTCTAAAACCCAATAAGAACGTGCCAAAAATAGCCCTTCATGTGACAGGCAAATGGATAATTTTGGAAACTCCCACGCAAATAAAAAAGGAAGAAGGATAACTATAAAACGGAATATTTACATTTCCCCTTCCACTGGATGTCATAAATCTCATACACCTGGCTGTGAATGTGTAAACGCCCACACACTGGCACAGATAAATTCAGTGCCAAAATATTTAAAGTCTATTTGTTAAGGCCAAGAACCAAAGGTAAATTGCGGCGAAAAAAGCACGAAAACCTCACCGGAAAAACCGCGAGAACCACCTGAAAAATGAGAAAGAGAGCGCTATAGCGGTGGTGAAAGAGACGGCAGATGAAAGCCCCAGAGAAGGCCCCAACAATTTAACAACTGACTTCATGTGAACTAAGCATACATGCAAGTGTGTGTGTGTGTGTGTTAGTACTCACCCACACATGCACAAACCAATGCATAAGCTTGGGTGTAAAAAAGAAAAATGACAGGAAAATTGCAAGGAAAGAGCAAACGCTTAGTCTCCCTTTTTTCTTTGTTCTACGACTGCTCATGCTAGTTTCCCTTAGCTCCTGTTATTTTCCTTTTGCTCCTGTGTGTGCTTTTCTTTATTTTCCGAGTCCTTTCGAATAAAATTCGAGCTTTTTCATTTAAACCCAATTTGGGTTTTCATCTTTGAAAAGGTAGGATTTTAATAAAGGAAAATGGTAACTTGAGGAATATCGATTTAAAGATTGATAACAAAAAATGTTAAGCCGGAAAAGTGTATGTTTTTCCAAGTTAAAAGATAAGCAATTACGATCAATTGGGCTAGACTACTAGAGATCTTTTTTGAAAAATAC